TAAAACGAATAAGTTATTAGGTTATATACTAAAAAGAAAACTCTATTAGAAAGCTATATAATTAGAGCTATTGTTATATAGCAAATGTTATAAAAATATATAATATATATATCTCAAGACTATAGATTTAATATAGTATAGTTATATTTACTACCGATATTAACTAGTAGTAGAAATTGATTTAATAGTAGAATTTTCTTCCGACTCTACTTATTTGAAATTTCTACTATATATATATAGATATATAGTCCTTTATATAGATATATAGAGGCTTATACAATACTAAAATAGAGTAAGAATATACGTTATACTAAAATAGTAAAGTATCTTTACTATATAGTAATAGTAATTACTATTATACCCTTACTAATTACTATTACTATTACTATTACTATCGGCATTTTGAGAAGTAGTAAATAGTAATCCCTATTTACTACTGTCCAAAAAGGGCAATAGTAATAGTAATAGTCATGACTATTTACTATTACTAAGGTTTGGACATCTCTGCCCATGGGCTTGCACGACCTCCCTGACAAATGCGCAAACACACCCGGGGTCAAGTGCATGGAGTTTATTATGATTTGATCGTGCGTGCCAGCGTGAAGCCTTGGACACTGTCGCGAAACGTTTGTCTCTTGGGGAGACCGGAGAGCCGTTTGCCAGTTGCGCAACGTGTGATTTCCGGTCACGAGTCCCTGAGCGCTAGGAGGTATGGAGGGAAGGTAGGAGGTAGCCCAGGGCCCCAAGTGAACTGGCCAAGTGCGCCGCGCGGCACTCCCGCTACCCGCGCGTGTTCCGGCGTAGGTAATTGGACGAGACACTAGCTGAGTGCGGGTGTAGCGCCAGTAGGGATCGGACTACTCGATTGCTTGTTACAGCATATATTGAAGTGAGGTCTATACGGAAGTTCAAGTGCCGTAGTCCTGCCCGTACGGCGTAGTATAAAAGCTTCCAAGTTCCATGAATGAATTTCGGGTAATCATCTAAATGTCGATGGAATCCTCGGCTTGAGACTCGTGAGCACTGAGCAGGTCCAGTTACTACATACAGTAAGATACCTCCTATATACGTCTCCGGGGCGGCATACCGGAGAGAGGAAGCCGGACGGCGTGTTATTGAATGCGGATGTTCAACAACGATTTTTCGTCTTGAACGCAGCAGCAGTCATCAGTCATCACCGATACCTCCTACAGGAACATGTATCATCTGCTGCTGCAGCCTGCTTGCTCTCCGGATCTCACCCACCTCCACCGCGACTCGGGCCTGGTACGCGGACCGATATGGTAGGTAGGTAGCTGCTTGTACCTCCTATCTCCAGGCAGCTTTCACTGCTAACTAGGCCCAATCGCGTTCCGATCACAACACCACTAGTCTGCACCTGGCGGAAACACCAAGCCTGTATACCAGCACCTCTCGACTGCCCAGCCTTGTGCGCATCAGGGAAAGGCTCTTGGTCACTCCACCGAAACGGCAGTAGCTTCGGGGCAATCGGCTGGCAGCCTGGCATGAAGGCATAGCGATATCGTGGCGCGAATCGAGAGAGTGCGATAATGGCGGACCAGTCAAAGGAGGACAGAAAGGGGGGCGGGGCGGGCAGGCAGTAATGCATGGCCATGCTCACTCACCGTACTTTTCAATCCTGCTCGCGTCGACTGTTGATCCTGCTGGACTTCTGATCAATGGCCAATGACTCTCCTCCCGAGGGCTGCAAGGCCTTGTCAATGGCTGGCAATCATTCGAGACTACGCCCAACGTCAAGAGCTTCGTCTGGGTCCCTTGTTTAGTGGGCAAAGGACGAGCAGGTCATATAGGAGGAGACGGACAGTAGTCAGACAGGCCACAGCAACACTTGCTCGCTTGCCTCGCGACAAGTTTGTCGGCCATTCTGCTCTCCTCATCACCACCACCACACGGGCAGCCTATCGCGTGAGGAGCGCAAGGTCCAGGTGAGTCTATGACAGTGAGGTCGCTTAGCTGCATCTGTACTGCACACACACACACACACACACACACACACACGAGGTACATACAGGTGACATATAGCGCTGCTGTCCCGCCAAGTGTCTCGAAGACGCCTGCGCGTGCGCGTGCTGCGCTCTTCTAGTACGCGCAGCTTCGCACTTTGCGAGAACTTTGACGAGACGTTTTGGTTCTAGCTCATCGTTTGCACTGGACACTCCTCCTTCGGAACTCGCGGAATGTATGGAGTATGGCGGGAAGCTCTCGGTGTGCTTGACACGAGACAGTGCATGCAGAGATCATAGGAGGTAGGTGATCGGAGAGCTGCTTCCACCGACACACAGTGAAAAATGATGCTGCAACATTCGAGCGATTACCTACTCACTCACTATGCGGTATCGGCATCGAGCACGTTACCGGAGCTGGCGGCAGTACAATACGCCATAGTAGACCTGTGATGTTGTCAAGCAACGACCAGCTGATGGACAGCGCAAGCGCCGGTCAAGGAACATCCATCAATACACTCGTCTATCGCAAAGCTACGAGGTAGAGTGTGACCGGCGGGTCAAGAAGGGCATCATGTCAGCCAATGGCTTCATGAAAAGGCCAGCACCCCGTCTTTCACCAACAAGGTCGAAGCATCCAGCAGTCCATACAGATTCGAGAGACAAACATGATTGAGTCCCTGAGCCAGAGGGGAATGCTAAACCTTGCGTGCCGGAGGCCGTCGAACTACGGAAACCTTCAGGGTTAGCTGTAGACTATCCTGAGCTCTATCCCAGTCAGTGGAGACTTGCGCTTAGAAAGGGTCGCGACCGCAATCGGACTACATAAGACGGAACAGGACGATGGAAGGGAACAATCATCCTCCTCCAACTAAGCAGGAAAACAAAAAGTAGTCCGGACACCACACCGCCATGGCGACGAACGGCCATACACCAGACTTCCGCGAGTGCGACGAGTTTTTTGACTTGCGAACCGTCGAACATGAGGCTTCTCATGTCGTACCCTATATCAAGCCCAACTCGAGAATCATCGACGTCGGCTGCGGAATCGGTGGCATCACGTTGGACTTTGCTCGCCGCGTTCCCGAAGGATATGTTCTCGGTGTAGACTACAGTGCTGGTGAGTGCAGATCACGGCCATGCTACAAAAGAAAATCAAAAAAGAAAATCAAAAAAGAAAATCAGAATCAAAAATACACACCTCTTTCATCTCACCTACAGTACCTTAGGTAGTGACTAACACACCTTCCCACATCATGTAGACTCCATCCGCGTCGCCAAAGAACGAGCGAAAGCAGCAGGCCTCACCAACGTCGAATTCGTGCACGGCGATGCCACCAATCTGGATGCTTCGATCCCCTCGGACTCCTTCGACATCTCCCACTCGCATCAAATGCTCCTCCATCTGCCCGGAGACGATCCCGTCAAAGCGTTAAAGTCCATCCGCCGCGTCGTCAAACCCGGAGGCGTCTTGACCACACGCGACAACCACGGCCGCTTCATCTACCCAGCCACACCGACGCTCCAGCGCTGCCTCGACATGTTCCCCGTCCTCTGCAGCGAACGCGGCGCCCATCCCGATGCGGGCCACGCCAACCACGTCTGGATGCATCAAGCGGGCTTCGAATGGGAGAAGATTAAATTCGGAGATGCGTGCAAGTACTTTGTCACGCCCAAGGAGAGACAATTGTACGGCCAGACGTTCAAGTGGAGTTTCTGGAAGACGTTTGGCAAAGGTCCGGAGACGGAGGAGGAGGAGAAGTGGTTGCAGGAGTATCAGCGTGATTTGGAGGCGTGGGTGAAGAAACCGGAGGCGAGGGTGGGCTGGGTGGATGGATGGGTGGTGGCGACCAAGTAGAAACAACAAAAAAAAAGAAAACAAGTCTGATGATGGAGTTGTGGTATACCAGGTACTTTTGCTTGTTTGGACGTACGCCCTAATAAATTATGCGAGGAATGAATGAATGAATTGTTGAAGATTACGAAGTTTGAAAATGCAACCAACATGTTTCTTTTTTTTTTTTTTTTCTTCTTTTCTTTTCCTTCTTTTTTCCCTTTTTCCTTCTTCTGTGATTATTGCATCTGCACTACATTACAACTACATGTAGCTCTGCATCATCTATGATTCTGATATACGACCTTGCCTAAATCGGTAGATATATACATACTCCATATCTCACTTGTAGCTTCTTCTATAATGCCAAAACTCCAGCCTAGATAACGTTGGACACAAACACAGTCACGACCCAGACAGATATCACACTCGCAGTCCCGAAAACAAATGTCTATATAGTTCTTATCCTCCCTTGCCTTTTACAGCAAAGTGCTTCTATACATGCCAACAGACTATATTCTTTACCTTTTCCCTTGACATATACGTTTATTCAATCCGTAGGACACTATAGTGCGTCTGATTCTCGGTAGGTAGGTACTTGACTAGTAACAATAATAATAAAAGGGAATAGTAGAGAGGGAATGAACTAACGAATACGGAAGTGATGGATATAGGTACTGTTATTTCCAAGTGTTTTTGTCGAGAAATTGGATCTGTAAAAGAGAGAGAAGCAGAAATATGAAGATATCTTTTCCTTTCAATACAATTTAGAAACTTTTCCTCTCTTTTCTCTTCCTTCTTCCTTCCCGCAAAGTTTTCAAAAAGCAAACTTTTCTAGAAAAGAGTGACTACTCGACAAGATTTCCATCACAGCCAAAACCCCTTTTTAGGTTCTGTCCTTCCCTTTCCATCTCTATATCTACTTACATCTAAGGGACATCTACATCTACCCATACATTCAACCCCTCCTCCTCCTCCTCCTCCCCCTTCTCCGCATCTTACAACTGATTACAAAGAAGATCCTGACCAGCCTAATATCCCAATCGTCATTAGCATTTTCCTTTTCCCTTTCCTTTTTTCCTTCTTGTTCCTTTCTTCTTCTTCTCCTTCTTCGCCAAAAAATAAGAACTTACAACTGGTAGTGCGCAGCAATTAGCACTAAGGCCACTTTCGGCACACATTTGCTTGAATTGCTTGATCGAGGTTACGGCGGATGGGGCTATAAATTTTTTTTGTCACAAATTAGTATCGAGGAGGAGGAAGATGGCGGGTGGTGGTTTGTAGTGATGATGATGGGAAGAGAACGGTGGGAGGAAGAAGATGGGAAAAAAAGAAAGAGAGAGGTTTTACCATTGCTGCATGACACTCCAGCAAGGCCGAGGACGTTGAGTTGGCAACATTGAGGGAATGCGGTGCTGGGGCAGACTTGGGATCCGTTGGTGTTGGTGTTGCTGTTGCTTTTGCCACTGCTTCCGTTGTTGGAGCCGGATTTTCCATTGTTTTTAGTCGAGCTGCTAGTGCTTCCAGTGCTTCCACTCATGCCCTTGGTGGGAGTTGGCTGAGCTGAACTCTTGCTAGAAGTCGAGAGGGTGGTGTGATATTTTGTCGGTCCTGTAGACGAAGTCGAAGTCGAAGAAGAAGACTGCGACTTTGGCCCCTTGCTGGAAGTTGGATGAATTGAACTCTTGCTAGAAGTCTCGAGGGTAGTGTGGTATTTCGCTGGTCCTGTAGAAGAAGAAGAAGAATAAGAAGAAGAAGAAGAAGAAGAAGAAGAAGAAGAAGAAGAAGAAGAAGAAGACTTCGGCTTTGCTCCCTTGGTCGTCGGAGTCACATGGGTAGAAGATGTCACAGTGGACGTGTGCACCCACGTCGACGTAGTAGTGGGCTTAACGAACGAGGACTTGCTCCAGCTCGACGTCGTCGTCGATGGACCTGCGTTGTATCCAGGGGGAGATTGCTGCTCGTCGCCATATGATGGGGCATTCGATCCATAGCCTTGTTGTTTGTTGCCGCTGTTGGCCATGGGGTTGGCTGCTGCCAGAGCAGCGAGAAAGATGATGGAGTATTGCATTTTGCTGGATGTGACTCTGAGGTGAATGACGGCTGAGGTGAGAGAGAGGGGATGGGTTTGCTGGTGGCTTTGAGAAGCTGTGTGTGTGTTGCTGGTGCTGGTGCTGGTGGTGGATGAGGAAGCAAATTAGCAATGGGAGGCAGAATATCGATGTTTATGTAGTAGAAGCTCTTTCGCTACAATTCCTCGATATGAGAGTGCCCCTTGGGGATTCCAGGAGCGTGACGTATGGGAATGCTCGGTAGACTCATTGCGATCAGTCCAACTTCTGCATATCGATGGTGTTCTCTAGATGCGATACGAGATCTCGGGGCGGGCGATATTGAGCATAGTTCGCTAGAGTAGTTAGGGGGGACTTTGCCAGAACAGGTTCCGCTCCACGACTCGACAGTGCATGAGTTCAGGAATGCAATCTGATCGAGGAAATACTTTGTGCATGTTGTGCTGGAGTACTGTATAGATGAAGGCCATGGCGGTACACTAGAGTCGCATTCATTGTCCTAAGCTGAGAATGAGATGTAAGAGCACATCAGATAGCAGCTACAGTGAGCTCCATTACATGATATGGACTTACAAGGAAATGGCAGAGTATTGATCGAGGGCCAGGACATTTTACCTATTCGTTCTTAGATGCGGCATGGCAGCACGTGGATAAGTCTCGATCCGTACCAAAACTCTTCTACCAGGCGACTCAGACGTCGCAGTCGCAAGGGCCGACATGCCTATCCAGAACGTTGAGCAGGTTTCGTTGCCCATTTTGCGTACACGCGGCTGGTATGGATAGACAGACGTTGGCGCGGCATACCAGTCTATCACATGACATGCACATCGAGTCATTGGGACCATGACGGCGGGTGCACAGTATGGCAGAGGAGGGAGTGTTCTAGAGCTGCGCGACGATGGCCTTTGAGGTCGATTTCACCTCTGCAAAGTGACATGTACCGTGATTTAATCATTTTACCTCACGATTGCTCGACTGCTTTGATCGCGTGCAGAACATCAGAGTCCATCGAGATGATCTCCACGCCCGCCTTGCGCAGCTCGGAGCGTGTCTTGTCCAGACTCTCGGCGTCTTGCATGACGGCTTTGGTGGCATCCTCAATCACGAACGTCTCATAACCATGTTCCACGGCGTCGAGCGCGGTCGACTTGACACAAAAGTCGTAGGCGAGGCCAACGACAAACACACGAGAGACATGGGCAGCCTTCAGCGTAGCATCGAGCGTGCTCATGCCGACTGCTGGGTTCCGGAAAGGGGGCCCAAACCCGCTATAGGATTCCACCCGCTTGTCCTCACCTTTGTTGATGAGCGTGGACAACTTGTGCTGGTGCAGCTCAGGGATGAGTTCGGCTCCCGATGTGCCGACCACGCAGTGATCGGGCCAGAGGAGGCTATCAGACATCATCAGCAGCGGACCCTCCCCCAGGCAAGGCAGATGAGGACGGCACTCGGCGCAACGTACGTCGTCTGTGTTTCTGCCGCATTGGACGGGCTCTGGATAGTGTGAGACGAGGTAAAGGGCTGGGCGCCCGGATGATTCGAGGCGAATGAAATGTGATCGGGCGGATGGTGATCTCTCGTGCCGACCTTGAGGACAAAGCCAGGCCAGTCAAGAAGGTCGTTGATGACGGATGCTACTGACCGGCCGCCGCTCACTGCCAGCGAGCCATTCGGTTCACAGAAGTCTTCTTGCATGTCGATGACGGCCAGCGCAGCCCTCGATTGCGCGTCTTCCATCTTCCCCCGATGAAGTGAATTTGGTATGTTGAATAGTCAGTCAGAAGTCAGTCAATCAGTCCGTCAGTCCGTCAGTCCGTCAGTCAGTGTTGGCGGACGACGCCCGTACGAGCAGCCGAGTCAGTTTTCAGTCCGAGCTCAGTCGACTAGATGTGTAGAAGTATGGATGATTTCGAGGCTTCAAAGGTCTGTCGAAAGCTTCATCTTCGTTGCTCCTCAGGCTGTCGATGATGATGATGAAGATGATGGTGATGCCGATGATGATGATAATGATGATGATGTCGACGGTCCGGCGCATGAACTCGTCTTGGCGTGTCTACCATCTTGATGTATATTATTAATAGCTTCTTGTCCTCCACTCCCCTTGTCATTCCCTTTCCTCTCCATTCAACTCTTCTCTCCGCTTCAAGCGCGTTTCCTCCCAGTTGTCGACTCGACATTGTTGAGGGCCAACGAAGCAAGAATTAGTCGACCACGTACCTCTGTCCAGGGCCAAGTCAGGGGAAGCCAGCGCTACGAGAGTACCGACAAGGTGGATGGCAGAAAGGTATATAAACGAACACGTCAGCTTCAGAGGCGCGCGCAAACTTGACCTGTGCAGGCTGCAGCAATGCGAGCAGACTGCCCTCCCCTCCCCTGTGTACCGGTGTGCCCGGAACATCAGTGAACAGCAGCAGCAATTGGGGCATGTCTACTGTACATCCGTGGGCTCTCATAACTGTCCGGGTCTGCACTGATGGTAATACAAGCGTCCTGGACGGACAATAATGCCACCAGCCTAGAGAGGGGATGGGATAGCAGTTGAAGGCGAGTGGCATCTCGTGGCGCTGGGCTTTACGCTGGGAATGATATGGCGACTGGGAAGCATGGAGTGATGGAGTGAGTACAAACGAATCGACACCGGCCGTGCAACGCAGTGTTATTTGCAGAAAGCTCAACTTTTGTGTCTGATGAAGGCGCTCTCTGCTGCTGCTTGCTTCTCTTGCTGTCTGTCAATGTTGATGGTGTTGTGGGCGTGTTCTTACTGGTCTCCTATCAACCATGTCTTCAATGTTCCCTACTGGCACTGGAGGCCTTGCCGTAGCACTGCCTGCTTGTTGGTCCCAGAGAGGGAGTGGTTTCTTCAGTTTCTGCTGCAAGGCACAAGTCAGCAGTTATCTCTTCATCTCGTCACATTGAGCCCACTGACAATGCATTGGTGTTGCTGAAGAGCGAATAGAGAGATCACACCAGTGTTTCCCAAGTGGCCATCATCGAGCCTTGCCAAGCTCTTTCTGCTCCAAATACCAATAGAACTCCCTATGAGCCGTGGTACGAACAGAGCAGTCAATAATCTAGCAATCGAAGTGGTACTTGCCATATTCCAGTCCTAGGAGTCTCTTCACTTAGTATCAACCCAAGTCTCACTTCCTCACATTTGCCATCCTATCCTACTATTGAGTCACAACAAAACAACATCCACCTCAGAAACATAAGTCTCCAGCACAGATCTCATCTCACCTCCCAACACACGCACACACACACGCACACACACACCCTCACCAGAAAAGAAAAAAGTCAACTCCGCCACGCGAAACGCAAACGCAACCATGGAACATTTCTCAGCGAAACTCGAAGACTACAACACCAAACTCGAAACCCACCGCGCCTGGCTCAAGAACATGATAGCGATCAACCGAGCAGCCCCCACCCCTACCACCACCAGCCTCGAAGAAGAAGAAGAAGAAGAAAAACAAAAACAAAAAGACCCCTTCACAACTCTCCTCCACAACCACGACACCAAAGCTCTAACTCGAATTCTCCTCGACATCCAAACCAAAATGGAACAAGAAATTGCGCGTCGAGTGGGTTTGGGAGAGAAAATTTCTCTCAAAGATGGCAAGAGGTGTTTAGATGAATTTTTCGCTGATGTTGGGGGGAGAGGGAAGGGGATGAGTCAGGAGACGTCGGATTGGTTGGGGAGGTATTTTCCGAGGTTGGAGGAGACTGTTGAGGGGTTGTGTTTGGGTGAGGGGAAGGGGAAGGGGAAGAAGAAGGGAAAGGAGAAGAGGAAGATGGTGGGTATCGATGGATGATGTGAGAGGAGGAATGACATGGCAAGTTGGTAGATAGTCTCAGTTTATACCTTGAGATAAGAAAGCACCCCCAAGGAATAATGAATCAACGAACCAAATTTGTGTTTTAGATTAATGCAGCTACATACTTCAGAAACAGAGGGAAAGAGGAGAGAGAGAGAGCGAGAGAGAAGAGAGGGTATATGTTGGTAAGACCAGTACCCCTTTCGTTCAGCCAGTTCTTCTCCCTCCCCCACCCCATCTATATCTGATTTGATACAAAAAAAAGACCGTGTTCCTCATTAATTCGTTTCTCTCTCTCCACACACAGACACACACACACAACACAAAGGAAAAGAAGAAAAACACAAAGAACAAAATCCAATTTTCTCCATTTTTGTTTTTCCCCCTCCAATGCATCATGGCATCATGTATCATGTAAATCACCCCCAATTGGCCTCAGGCTTGTTGTACACACACACACACACCCTCACACACATCCCTACTCATTCGCTCGCTCAGTGCACATTCAAGCAAACGCTGACGCAGTTAGAGACATCCTTCACGGTGTATCTTTCATTGATGATATTAAACCATTCTTGTGGGAACAGAGTACCATAAGTGATATATCCGCCGTCGTTCTTCGAGCCCTGACCAGTGGGGCTATAGCCGGATGGCGGTGGGTTGACTTCCTTGTTAGAGTAAGGGGTGATTGTCTTTGGTGGGCCTGGTGGAGGGACGACCTTGTTGTCCGTGTTGCAGGAGTCGCCGATGCACTTTGGTGGACCTGGTGGAGGGACGACCTTGTTGTCCGGGTTGCAGGAATCGCCGGTGCACTTTGGTGCACCTGGTGGAGGGACGGGCTTGTTGTCCGTGTTGCAGGAATCGCCGGTGCACTTTGGTGCACCTGGTGGAGGGACGGGCTTGTTGTCAGTCTCGCAGTCATCGCCGCTGCACTCACTATCCGTCTTGGAGTATGTGGAGATGCCTCCAGCCTTGTTGTAAGGGACGGGCTTGTTGTCCGTAGAGCACGAAGTGCCGGTGCATCCACTATCTGTCTTTGGAGGTGGAGGGGGGGTCTTGTTGTCCGTAGAGCATGAAGTGCCGGTGCATCCACTGTCAGTCTTTGGTGGTGGAGGGGGGGTCTTGTTGTCCGTAGAGCATGAAGTGCCGGTGCATCCACTGTCAGTCTTTGGTGGTGGAGGGGGGCTCTTTGGTGGTGGAGGGGGGCTCTTGTCCGTAGAGCATGAAGTGCCGGTGCATCCACTATCCTTCTTTGGAGGTGGAGGGGGGGTCTTGTTGTCCGTAGAGCACGAAGAGCCAGTGCACCCACTGTCAGTCTTTGGTGGTGGAGGGGGGGTCTTGTTGTCCGTAGAGCATGAAGAGCCAGTGCAACCAGAATCCGTCTTGGAGTAAGGGGCGGGCTTGTTGGTAGAGTCTCCAGAGTACGAGTTGGAATTTTCCATCATCTTGGAGTTGCTGCTAGAGTCCATCTTGGCAGAGTCCATCTTGGAAGTGTCCACCTTGGTAGTGCCCTCTTTGGAGCCTTTGGAACCATCTCCCTTGGTGGCAGCGGGCGTGGTATCATCCGTACTATTATCCGTAGTGGCATCTGTCTTAGTGGCATCATCCGTACTATCTTCCGTACTATCATCAGTAGCAACGAGTGAAGTACCAGCGTCTGCCTTCTTGTCGGTCTTATCGGTACCCTCGGCCTTCATGTCGGCCTTGTCAGTACCATCATCGGCCTTCTTAGTACCATCGTCGGCCTTCTTGGTACCATCATCTGCCTTTGTGTCGGCCTTCTTGGAGTCATCTTCTTCATCCTCCTTGGAGGAATCAGTGCCCTTTGTGGAAGCGTCGACTGATTTGGACTGGTCAGTCCCTGCGGGTGCTCCAGGAGTGTTGGCGGGAGCATTGGAGGCGTCCTTCTGAGGTGTCTCTGCTCTGGCTGCCAGTTGGAAGCTGCCTACTGCCCTGGCCCCACCGGGAGGCATTTGTGGCATAGCAGTGACAAGAGGAAGGATGCAGGCCGCGAAGGCCACGATGTGGTTGATCTTCGTCATGGTAGCTGAAAGGGAAGCCTTCTTTGCTTCGGCTTCTTCTTTTTCTTCTTCTTCTTCTTCTGTGGCCGGCGAACTGGTGCGGGACTGGAACGATCGTAGTGCTCTGAAGCGAAGGAGGAGTCTGGCTGCTCAGAACAGCGACTCCTCCTCTCGCTTTATGTGTCTCGTTGAGTCCCCCCATGGCCATAATGGCTTACCAGTGTCGCAGGTTCCGCTGCGCAATTGGACTGCGCATCATACAGGCGCGCGGCTTTGTTTGATGCAGAAGAGCAACGTCACGAAGTTGTGAGGCTGTATCGAAGTCTTTACGAAGTCATCCGGGGCCAGGGCTCCTCGTCCCGTCCAATGATGATGCTGATGCACTCAGCACGTGCAGCCGAAGGTTTCAGTTCCTGGACAATGCCAACTCAAAGTGTGCTTCTGCATGCATTCTTCACCAACTACCACCTCGACTCAGTGGAGAACAAGCACCAGCAGCAGCAGCAGCAGCAACTCCAGGTTGTCCTCCAGCAACAGTTTTGAATTCAATTCGGTCCAGGAGTACAAGCTGGGATGCAACGTCGTCGTAGTGGAGCGTCTCGTGTTTTGGATGTCGTGTCTCCATTCACACGGTATCGAACAAGCGAATCGATGAAATGGACATGGTGGAAGACGGCATGGAATCAGTGGTTTCTACTGCAGGCACCGCCACCATTGCCCTTCTCACTCACCTGCTCCCCCTCTCTCCCCATCGAGCTCCGCTGAGGGGTGGTAGTGAGCATTCGTCGTCAGCGATGCTGGTCCATTAGGTAAGGCTCATCGATTCTGTGTCGTGTTGAGGGTAAGTCATTACCTGATCCCAGCACGGAAGTGTAGTCGAAAAGGCACGAAACCGTACTGTGAAGCGCAGACGGATTCCAGCTTACGGCAAGCCTGAAGGATGAAGCTCCGGCAGACACCGAATGATGCGTCTACTCATGGAATACCTTGCTTGACGGTATAGCGCTGTTGATCGGCGATCGCTGCGGATGGCGAAGAGATGCTCAGTATATGGATGAATCAGGTAATGCTCACTTTGGGCGAACTTCCGAGCCCTCTTTCGCCATATTTCTGTGTGCCTGTACCTGAGTGAGCCCGCATGGAAGGACCTTTGGAGTCTGGAGGCGGGATGTGGGAGAGAGTCAGAGAGGGAGAGGGGGAGGGGGAGGGAGGGAGGGAGGGAGGGAGGGAGGGAGGGAGGGAGAGAGGGAGAGGGAGAGATGGTCACGAGCAGCAAAGTTGAGCAAACAACAACTGTCCCGACCATTCATGGTGCACGTGTTCTGCTGAGAGTTGGACCACTGCCACTCTATCCGCCTAGGAGGTAATAGACGCATAGGTACTGTACCTGTACCTTAGCTAGGTAATTCACAAGTGAATGGCTGATATCCTTCTATTCCTTCTGGGGCAAGTTGGGGCCAGCCATGGTCCGTGGAAGAAGCATCTCGAACCCTCCCGTCCGCAGTGCTGACTGCTCGTACTTTTTCCCTTTTTCAGCACTCGCAACACTTTTCCAGCACTTACAGCACATTCACTTGTCATGTTGTCCCCTCGTCAGCATCAGCACCAGCACCAGCGTTCCCGTCAGACTCCAGGCGTCCCAAGGCTGTGGAATCATTAAAGTATAGGTAGCAGTGTATTACTCATGATTCTAGTACACTGATGACATTGGATGTATAAAACTACGGTATGTAGTGAGTATGTTCCTCAAGTAGGTAGAAATTTGCACATCGCCGAAGTCCGATGTCTTTCTTCACTACCTCCGTACCACACCTCCCATCATCTACCGCAGCTCCACTTCTCATGTGAAGGAAAAACTTCTCTCAGCCAGTCAACGGCAGGCAATGGCATGGCGTCCTTATCTTATCGATGGGATGGGCGAAATTTTTCAGTTGCAGCTCGCTCCCGAGCTTCTTCTTCTTCTACTTCTTCTTCTACGTGAGTTCTTGTATAACCTTTCCTCCAGGCGCGTTGGTGTGCATAGCAGTTAGTGAGTACTACCACCACCACAACACTAATTATTGAGCATCATTCTTGTCATCCTCACCACCGTCGTTATTGCACCAAACCAGCCCCAGTCGTTTCACACCAGCGCTTATATTCGGCTACATTCCTCCGTACGAGACGCGGGGAGAAGAAGCACAGACAGAGACATACCTTGACACGCCTGCGGCGGGGTCGTCACGAGGCACAGAGGAGAGGAGTAGGAAGAGGAGGAAGAGGCTGCTACGAAATATCATTTAATCCTCTAGTACCCTCGCTGGCACTACTGCCGGCCGTAGTGGCCCCCTTTTCGCCAGTATGGCCATGTTTGAACGGCGTTCGTCCATGGAAGATCTGAATCGATGGCGGACCCAGTCCCCCTCCGGCTCCGAGCGACGAAAGCTCTCCTTCAATCCCGTCGGAGAGTGGTCCGACCCAGCGACACAAATCAATCCTCCCGTGGCTGCAATCGAGGTTAGCAAGAGCAAGCGAATCGCCCAGGTGGTGGTGGCGGTATTGTACTGCTTGACCGCAGCAGGAGTCGTGTTTGGATTCGCGGCCATCAAGCCCGTCTTCATCGACGAGGGAGTATACCGAGACTCGTGTACGGCGGAGGAGCGGGATGCAGATGTCTGGGTGTGCTATGGACAAGAGCTGCGGTTGAACTTGATGTTCACTGTCGCTGCCGTCTCCACCAACGTGTGTGCGTTGCCGGTAGGCTGGGTGCTCGATCGCTTTGGCCCGCGCATCGCCAGTATAATGGGCTGTATATTCCTGTTGGTGGGAGCCCTCTTTCTCGCGTTTGCAGCGGACTTGTCGCATGCCTTTGATGCCTACATTCCCGGCTATCTCTTCCTCGCACTGGGAGGGCCATTCGTCTTCATCTCCTCCTTTCAGCTGAGCAATACCTTCCCACAGCACTCCGGCCTCATTCTCGCCCTCCTCACGGGAGCCTTTGACACGAGTAGCGCCGTCTTCCTGCTCTACCGCCTCCTCTACCAGCACACCAATGCGGCCTTTAATACCAAAAAGTTCTTCTTGCTGTACCTGATTGTCCCGATCCTGATCTTGATCGCACAGCTCACCATCATGCCGGGCGTATCCTACAAGACAGTCGGCGAGCTCGTCGAACAGGTCGAAGATCCTACCCACGACATTCACGATTCCGACTCGGACATCTCAGATGACTACGAGCGCGTCACTCGTCAGACCTCCCGCCGCGAACACCGCGAAACCATCGCCACGGAGATTGACAGCCTGCTGGGATCCAAGGATGCCGCGCAGACCATTACCAAGCAAGAAGAAGCGAAAGCGCAGACTTCTGGCGTCTTTGGGGCCATGCATGGCAAAACCGTCCTGCAACAGATTGGGAGCCCCTGGTGGATTCTCATTACCGTCTTCACCGTGGTGCAAATGCTCCGCATCAACTACTTTGTAGCCACCGTACGGACGCAGTACGCGGAGATGTTCCACTCGTATGCCAAAGCGGTCCAGGTCAACGACTTCTTCGACGTCGCCTTACCGCTGGGAGGCGTCATCTCCGTCCCCTTCATCGGCTACGTACTCGATCACACGAGCACGCCGTTTACTCTCGGTCTTCTCGTGACCATTGCAACTGCCATCGGTGCCTTTGGTCTAGTCGAGAGCATGTGGGCAGCCTACGCCAACATCATCCTATTTGTCGTCTATCGCCCATTGTACTACACCGCCGTCTCCGACTACGCCGCCAAAGTATTTGGATTCCAGACATTCGGAAAAGTCTATGGAGCCATCATCTGTCTAGCAGGACTGTTCAACTTCACGCAAGCCGCACTCGACGCAGCCACGCACAAGACATTCCACAACGACCCCCGGCCCGTCAACGCGATTCTGCTCGGAGTCGCGCTGACCGTCGGCATCGTGCTCGTCACGTATGTGTGGCGCAAAAGTGTTACATTGCAGAAAGACTTGATCAAAGAGGAGGCGGAAGAGGCTCGAGAGAGGCTCATGCCGGGAGCCAATGGAATGGATGTAAATCGACCGCATGGACACGAGACGTATGGCACTGCATGATGAGACTGTAGTAGTACATGTAGTATCTCACATGCATATAAAAAAAGGGCCATGGGTGGGGAGAATCATAAAAAAGTTTTTCTTCTTTTTGAGCAAGGCGTTGGTGGGCAGGTAATCCAATAGTAAGTGTCCCGACAAATACAAAAGGTATTACTCCAATTCTTTTTTTTTCTCCCCAAAAATGGAAAGTATTGTGCATAACCTTTACCTTATTTCACCTAAGGTAGCCTGTAGGTATACGTATACCTTCATCGTATTTTGATATTTTCTATCTTTACCTTACCTTACCCATCCATAAGTTTCTATCTTTACTTACCTACCCGGGCACCTATAAGATCATGCAATACGTTTCTACTGGGTAGGTAGGGTCGTTCGTATCATTCATGTTATCCATCTCCCATCCCCTCTCTCGTTTTCATACCTGGGCCTGGCACTGCATTGCACTGTACCCGTAAAGCTTGCTATGTATATATACATACATACATACATACATACATACATACATACATACATACATGCATTATACATACCTTACATACCTAGATACACGAGCTCACTCACGAACCTAAGGTAAAGTACCTAGGTCAGGTACCTATATAGTTAAGGTATTCAAGGTACCTATCTATACTTAACACACCTTACTATACTTAACATAGGTACATGGCTACCTACCTACCTAAACCTTACACATACCTGACATGTAGATACCTACCTACCTAGATACACGAGCTCACGAACCTATTCTAGGTATCTATACTTAACAATACCTACCGTAAATACTTACATTAGAGTAAAAAAATTTCTTGAGACTTGGAATAATAGGTAAGTATCCTTTTCGGAGATGACGAGGACGAGGACGACGACGACTACGACGACAACACATGGGAGCGAAGTTCAAGGCAGTTTCAATCAATCATCATCATCAATCATGCTCAATTTGAGAGGGGGTATCTTCGCTATCAAGTGCATCGGCAAAAAAACAAAAAACAAAAAAACTCCTACGGCGTGAGCTCTGCTCTCCGCTGCTTATAAAACAGCTCTAGGCAGTCGCGACGCTGCTGCTGCGTCCAGCCCTCGACCACCAGTGCGAACTCTTCCACTTTTTCATACCCAAAATGGGCAGACATGCTGCAGAATTGACGTCTCCTCACTTCCTCTGGTGGCTGATACTTGTACTTGACTCTCACCTCGCCCTCTCCATCCCCACCGCCTCCGTAATTTGCCTGGAAACCCGTTCCAGGCCGAGGCAGTGCGGGCGTCTGTGATTGCTGGGAGCGGGCGAATGCGAGCTGGTTGATGTGGTCTGGGTCATCTGCACCCTTCTGTGCTCGGCTGGACAGCTTGGTTTCAATCTTGCTCGTCCCAATGACCTCGGCGTTCTCGTGCGTGTATGAGACTCCAGCAGCGGCAAGGATTGCTTGTACTGGATCTTTCTTCTTGGCTGCCTCCTTGGCGAGCTTGCGCTTTCGACTGGGCTCGTCAATGACTTCTGCGGCAAGGGCTTCGATGGCCGCCGTCCGTGAGTCTGGGTCCAGCACGAAGTCGTCCTCGTCCTCTTGACTTGCTTCCAGATCCAGGCCAACGATGTCAATGCCAGCCTTGGTCTCTGCAATGTTCGTCTTATTGACTATATCTCGTAACACAACATTGGCCTGTACTGGTGCGAAGAGGTTTGCCAGTCCGAAAATCTCGCCCTTCTGGTCTTTGTTGTCTTGCACACCCTTGAAGTAGCGGCGCTCAACCGAAGCGTTGTATCCAATATTGGCTTGTTGTTGCTTGTAGATTTGTCGCGCGTATACAATCTCCTCTACTGTGCCGACAGAAACAAGACGGAAGACCTCCACATCTCTGGTCTGGCCGATGCGGTATGCGCGATCCTGTGCTTGTAGATCGTATGCCGGGTTCCAGTTCGGGTCGACGACGACTACTTTGTTGGCGCTGGTGATGTTCAGTCCTACACCTCCAGCCTTTGTCGAAATCAGGAAAGCGAATTGGCTGGGCTGAGAGTTGAACGCGTCGACTTCCTTCTGCCGATCGAGGTATGTCATGCTACCATCCAAGAAGGAAATGTTGTAGGACGTCTTGAATTTGAGCAGAAGATTTAGCATCCGGAGCAGTCGCACCGAGTGGGAGAAAATGAGGACTTTGTCTCCATTGTCGTACCACAGCTTCATGAGCTTCTTTAGTACATTCCACTTGCCACAGAATTCCGGTCGTGCAAGAAAGCTAAGATTGTCTCTATTCTGGTACAATTCTTCCCAGTCGTCTGGCAAGGCAATCCTGAGCTTTTCCAAATCTTTTTCGAGTCGTTCGGCATCGGCATCCGCTTTTGGCACCATGAGAGCGACGTGGTTGGAAAGCTTCTGTAGTGTGACCAGTGCGGGAAATACCTGATTTTTCCATCCGCCGAAGCCTTCAATAGATTCTCTGCAGCAGTGGCCTTGCTTTTTACCCGAATCGCAGAAGCAGGGCTCAGAAGAATCGCGAATGGCATGTACGAGCTCCGAGTCAGTAAAGTTCTGATATGCTGTGACTTGAGTCTCTGTCAGTGGACAGAACACCACACGGTCGCTCTTCTTTGGCAATTGATGTGCGATGAGGGCCTTTGTGCGGCGCAGCCAGAAATTCGGTAGTAAGTTTTGGGTCAAGCCGATCGCTGTACGTCGAGCTTTGGCCAGTTGTGAGAGCGTCGCATCGTGGCTTTGTCCTATCTTCAGAGGCATGCAAATGGCACTCTTCCAGTTGGCGATGGTGCTCACACATCCCGGATTGGCCCAATTCAGTAGTGTCCACAGCTCTTCGTACTTGTTTTGGATGGTCGTACCACTCAGGCCGAAACGGCAGAGAGCGTTGACGTTGTTCATCGCTTGTGCGTTTTGTGACTTGCGCTCTTTGATGGTGTGAACCTCGTCAGCAATAACGCAGTCCCACGTCACACAGTTGATGGAGCTCTCATCGCGCTTGTATGTGTCATATGTTGTTATCATGATCTCGAGCCTGCCTCCTTCTGCAGCTGCTAATGCGTCCTCTTTGGCAGATGCGCTGCCATGGTATGTGTAGATGTGCCAATACCCCCAGCGGTCGAGCTCCACCTTCCAATTCTCGATGAGTGTCCCTGGGCAAATGATGAGCACTCGCGGGTACCATGTTCCTGGCTCGTTTTTCCGCTTGTATCGCATTCGCTTGAGATCGCGCTCGTCTGCTGTCTTGCCAAACGCCACTGTGAGGAATGCGATGACTTGAATTGTCTTCCCTAAACCCATATCGTCGCCTAGAAGGGCACCCTGTTGCTTCACAAACTTCTCGTGCAGCCATCTGGTGCCATCGATTTGGTAGGGCTTGAGGTATTGGGCGATAGAAGGCGGTATTGTGCCATATTCGAGCTCGATGGCTTCGTGTGGTCGTGGTGGTGTCACACCAGGCAAATTCGGCTTCTTGTGCTGTGATGTTCCCAGGCCAATGTCTTTGTGTGTGGGTGGTGTTCGGAACCCAAGATCATCGCCTTTCTGTTGTTGTGCTTCTCGCTCATTGCGCCGCTTTTTGAGGTAGTCGGGTAGGAGATCCTCTGGTCGCTCGGTCTCGTCGTCGGTCGCTTCTTCGAGCGGGGCGGCGCGCCGCTTGGTATGGAGCTTCCGCTTGCCTACGAGCGAGGCGGCCTGGGGTCTTTGTCGGAAGGGCGGTAGGAGTTTGCGGGCTGCAGTGGTGGCGGGAGCTCGTCTCTTCTTCTTCAGCGGCTCGTCGTCCTCGAGGTCGCTGAATGAGAGTCGCTCCGCCGTCACCGCCGCCTGCAAACCCTCACCGATCCTATCCTTGGCGCCGCGGCGCCGTACGCTGGTGTCGAGCAAGCTCGACATTGGCGGTGGTGGTTTGGAGGAGGAGTGCTACAAAGAGATACAGTAGTACAGTACCAGGTAATGTTTGGGATTACTAAGCGGGGGGGGGTTTGGATTCTACTGTCACAGTGTCACGACTCACGTAGGAGAAGAAGGATTGATTGATTCAATTTGATTTAATTTTGACTAATATCCGGAGCTCCACGGATACTAGGAGAGGGGGCCGGGGGAGGTGTATGGCGCGGGCTCTAGAAGAGAAGTAAATTAGCAAATGAATGTCAAAGAGTGAAATGATGACGACGCGTAGGAGGTAGGAGTGGGACGCGACTGCCAAGCCAAGGAAGCGCGCTAGGCCGCTAGCGCGATTTCGAGAAAGGACCTCGGTTCGGGCAAGCCAGTAACTGGAAATCTCCGTCCTCAGTCTCATTCCTGGATCCAGGAGGTACCTCCAGCACCATTCGAACTCATCCAGTTGCCGGTTTCGCCATGCGCCGTCGATACGACTATCCAGTATAGCGATATGGCCAGTCCGACACATAGTGCGACGTCTCCTCGCGCATGTCCTTGGACCAAGATCCGGTAGACGATCGCGATCGCTCATCCTCAAGAGTAAAACGATGCACAAGGAGCGGCAGCCATCCCAAACGGCCGACAACTTCGGGCTTCTATGGTGCCTGTGCCCAGCTCATGGTCTGCGGGAGCGTGAAGAGACACTCGAAGTCTGAAGAGGCACCGCTGTCATCGACAGGCGAAGAAGGAAGCTCTGCCACTCCAGGGGCCAGCTTGGGGAGAAGGGTCCGATGCTGGCCGAGGCGAAGAAGGGTTTCTACACTTCTCTCGACGTTCTCGTCCGAGTAGTGCGTGGATGGATCTTGGTGCCGTAGAAGACGGCTGCCATAGGGATCAGCCAGACTGTTCCGATAAGACGGGCTTTAGGTGGATGGTGAATCCCTAGGCTTGGCGGCATGGCTGGATCTGTCGTGACGGACAGGAGTGCAGCTAGGCATGTATGTCTGTCGTCCTGATATAGTGCTCTTTCTTTCAATGTGTTGCAGCTCTTATTCAAGTGCCAGATTTCCGCATGGTACAGCCGGTGATGCAAGAGCAGAGAGGATCATACTGGTAGTATCTTCTTCGACTCCTGCGCCCAATCATGCGGACGCTTCGAGGGTCATGCCACACGAGACAGCGCGGTGATTGAAGCAATGATTGAGCGGGTCGTGTAGAAAGAGATCGCTAATAACTCTAGGACTCCCCTTCTCGCGTAGCAAGAACCCGCTGGCTTCGAGGCACATTTCCATACCGCGGCTCGGTCGATTGTGGCTTGAACGAGAAACACTGCTATAGGCACAGCTAAGATGGTCCCTTCTCTGATCCGCGATCAAGCCTGGCGGCTCTTGTCCCGATCCCGGCGTCCTGGCGGTCCCTTGGCTGTGCTGAAAGGTGCTTGCTTGCTCGAATGCTACTATCGTAGTGCTAGGAATCATAAGGGATAACTTACCAGTTCCTCTTGCTCCACTCGCGCTCCCGGGCAGCGAAGCCAGCGTTCTCCGGGCGGAGATACCAGGCCTCCTGCCCGGCGAGCTCCCGGTTGAGCTCGGCAACGGCGCCGTCCACCTCCGCCTGGCAGCAGGGGCAAAGCCCCTGCCGCAAGACTCGGGGGACGTCCGAGAAGAACAGGCAGCTTAAGGAAGTTAGTCAGTCAGCTTGCTGGTAACTCTTATATACGGCTCAGACGGAGGCTCACAGCGGGTTGCAGGTGCGCATGCTGCGCACCATGCGCCAATACTCGGCGCCGCACTTGGTGCAGAGGAGGACATCCTCCAGGATGTGGCACACTATTCAGAGCAAGAAAAATTAGCAATGAACGGCGCAATATATACACGCCACAGCCAGCAGATCCGTCCAGTGTGTGCCTGGCCGCAACTCCTAGAGATATGAATGACTCTGGCGAGTAAGGCAGGAGGGAAACTTTGCGATCTGGCTATCCGCAGGCCTGGTGGTTCTCTTTGTTTGTTGGAAGGAGGGGAGAGCTAACTTACTGATGGTAGTGGTGGTGATGGTAGTAGTAGTAGTGGTGGTGGTAGTGGTGGTAGTGGTGGTGGTGGTGGTGACGGCGGCGGCGGCGGCGGTAGTGGTGATGGTGGTGGTGGGGGTCGTGACGGCGGCGGCGGCGGGGGTGATGGTGATGGTGATGGTGGCGGCGGTGGTGTTGGCGGTGGTGGCGATGGTGGTGATGGTGGTGATTGTGTTGGTGTGGCGGAGTTGGTGTCGAATTCCTGGCGTCAAAGTTGTCAGCTTTCTGAGCAATAAAAAGGGGAGGTGCTTGACATTGCTCTGCAACCCTGTTTCGCTGCATGGCGATGGGGTTGTACTTACGGTAGCGCGGTGTCTGAAGAAGGAAGAAGAGTGCTATACAACAAGAAGGTCAGCCTGATATGCCTCTCCTGTGGCTGTCCATAGGTGTCACTTACTCGTCGGTCTGATCGTTGTTGAAGCAGGAAGACAGGATTGATTGTGGGAATATAGACAGCCCGACCGCCAAGAGATATCAACTTAGCATTATGCAGTGAATTCAACATCATGTCCTGAACTCATGATCACTATACCTCCATCAACGGAGAACAGTAAGCGCTTGATCTCCTCAAGGACCCCAATAACATAGACTGACGAGACAGCACAACGACACAATGGCAGAGAATTGTAGGATGGATCACCGGTACCATCCACAGAGCCTATGACCTCGCCGCCCCCTTCATGCTCGCAACACTCCCCAATGCACAACTCGTGTACCGACAAGAACAGGAGCGGACAGGCCTTACGAAAAATGAGGCCAGCCGAAGGCCCTTTGGTATAAGAGCTTCGTCGGACGCGACTCGCTGGCAATCTCACTGGCTGGATGAAGAAGGGAAGCGATCCCCAATCGATCAAAGCACCACAAATGCAACATCTTGTATACTCAGAACTGACACTTCCGCCAGGTTCACCACTCCGCCCTCATACCGCCGCCACCATAAACAACAACGACGACGACGTCGACCCTGAAAGTCAACTTCTCGTTGGCCGACGGGCCGGCAAAAAGTGGGCCGTCGCGAACCGCGCCTGGCATCTCGTATCCTCGCCTCGATCCTGCACCGAACATCCTATCGACGCTTCCAACATCAACCAACAACATGTCTCCATACCATCAGCGGTAATAGAAGGGGGGGATTTTGGGGACTCGGGAAATGCTAAACACCCCTTCTCGACAACACCATGGACCAGCAGATCTTGGGTGGCGGATATGAGGCCAGGGATAATCACGGGATCTGCTTCCATCACATCTGGATCGTGGGAGATGCAAGATTCAGGCCATGCTTCCAACCTGTCGTGGCTGCGGCTCCAACGATTCTTGCGGCCATTATATTACTCGGCCAGGTCTTGAAGCTGGTCTTCACTTCTCTAGGATACAGGCGACCACGATGGATGCGGCCTTTCGTGGAGGAGGCAATAGAGCCTATACAGCAGTCGGAACTGGTGTCGCAGCGGAATTGGACAAGAACTTCTATCAGCCTGTTGGTATGCAGCATCTTGGGGGCTCTCGTGTACCTGGCAGCCACCATCAAAGCACTTGTAACCCGTTCCGGGGTCTTTAATGCACCCGCCGTTCAAATCGCAAGTTTGCAGAGTCTCCCGTGGATTGTTGTCGTCCTTGAAATATGCATCTTCAGGCCCAGGAAAGTCCCGTTCGCAGTGCTTGTGATACTCGTAGTCAACTTGATAGCACAGTGTATCATACTGGAGAATGCTGGGTCCACGAAAGAACTATTGCCTTTTTGGATCGCTGGTACGGTGACGAACGGCATTGCAATCTGCATATTGTCAATCATGCCTTTGCGAGATGTGTTACTGTCCACCAAAGACATCAGCAAGCCATTCACTGCGCCGACAAGTGTCTTGCGCAGCCCGGAAGAGAACCTGAACATTTGGCAATTCATGACTGTGAGGTGGATGACACCCATGCTCAACATTGGTGGCAAGCGACAGATGGAGGACTCAGATGTCTGGTCTCTGCCATATGAGTTTCAGCATGCACGTCTGCACGAAAACTTCAGAGTGCTTCGTGGTACCGTCATCAAGCGGTTGGTGACAGCTAACGGAATCGATCTTGTCATCGTGACCATCCTGGGGTTCGTAGAGAAGGTTCTCGATTACGCAGCGCCATTCTTCCTCCAGCTCATCCTCAGTTCCATGGAGGACCCGGAGCGCCCCAAAAGAGTCGCCTTAACATATGCCGGGCTCTCACTCGTGGCAAGGCTGTTGGCTGCGCAAGTTGACGTCTTCCAGCTGTGGTATGGCCGGAGGGCCTATGAGAGAAGCAGAGGAGAGATGATTACAATGTTGTATGAGAAGACGCTGGGAAGGAAGATGGCTTTCAAGCCTGTCGAAAAGATCGAGCCAGTGCAGCACAACGGCACATCAAGCGGACATGCCAACGATGAGCTGACGCCGAAGCCGAGGGCAGACTGGTGGACCAACCTCATGCGACCGCTTCGGAGCCTCCTCCAGAAAAGAGACGCGTCTCCGCCAGTCAAGGAGCCGGCATCGATGGGCAGAATCTTGAACTTGATGCGCAATGATGTCTACGAGGTAGCGCAACGCTTTTGGGAGTTCGATAAACTCATCAAAAAGCCAGTTGCCATTATTTTGTCCATATGGCTTGTCGTCAACTATCTCGGATGGGCATCGATGATGGCGGTCGGTCTGGTTATACTGGCACAGGTCATGAACGCGATTCTTGCGCGTGTTCTCACTCACTACGAAAAGAAACGCCGTTTCGCAACAGATGCCAAGCTACAGATTGTCTCACAATTTGTCGAGGCCATCAGACACCTTCGGTGGTATGGTTGGCAAGATACGTGGCTCAACCAAGCGTTGAATGCTCGTCAGAAGGAGCTCATGCTCCGAATCACTGCGAACGCATGGAACGTCGTCATCAGCTTCGTCAACACCTTGTCCTACGACCTTGTGCCGGTGCTGGCGTTCTTCACATACACCGTCATTGCTGGCAAGCCTTTGACCATTGACATTGCGTTCCCCTCGATACAGCTGTTTAGTATGATGACGAGCGAGCTGCGCGATGTTCCCGGTCTCATCGTGGCGCTGATCAATGCATGGGTCGCCGTGCAGCGCATCGAGGACTTCATGGCCGAGCCGGACCTGCAGGAGATGGCAACAGAAGCACTCATCGGAGATCAGCTAGCTATAGATCATGCGTCCTTCGCATGGCCCGGTGCTACGGGGACGGTCTTGAAAGATGTCAATATCTCGTTTCCTGAAGGCTTGACAGTGATATTTGGCGAGGTGGCAGCAGGCAAGACTGCTCTTCTACAAGCACTTCTGGGCGAGCTCGACATGCTAGAGGGTCAGCTGATTCGGCCTCCAGAGCCCATCGGCTACTGTGCACAGACCGCATGGCTTCAAAGCATGAGCATTAGAGAGAACATTCTCTTTTCGGCACCGTATGAGGTTGAAAGATACCGAGCGGTGCTAGATGCCTGTGCACTTACCCCCGACTTGGCCGAATTCAAGGCTGGAGACTTATCCCTGATCGGCGAGAACGGCATCGGATTGTCTGGGGGCCAAAAAGCACGAGTTGCGCTTGCAAGAGCTGTCTACAGCAAGACCAAGATCCTGTTGCTGGACGATCCGCTTGCTGCGCTGGATCAGCAGACCGCAGAGTCCATTGTGCAGCAGTGCTTTCGCGGGCCTCTTCTCAAAGGGCGCACAGTCGTTCTCATTACACATCGAACGGATCTCGTGCTCGGCATTGCCGACCAGCTCATCAAGTTGGAACATGGCATGGCGTCCGTCATGGATCATGATGCCGCGGAAGCCAAACAGTCTGCTATGTATGAGCAAAAGCCGGATCTCACAGCGGACGAAGAACGTGCCCAGAAGGCAGCAGAAGCCGCGATTCCGGCCAAATTCGTCGAGGATGAGTATCGAGCTTATGGCGGCGTCAAGGCGTCTGTATACTGGGAGTACATACGGGCGGGTAATCTGTGGCTATGGGCACTCACGATCTCGATACTGGTCGTCTATCGTTCCTTCGCATTGCTCGAAGCATGGTTTATCAAGTCATGGGCCGAAGCATACAACACCAAAGCCAAAGCAGAAATGTTTATTCACTCCGCAGACGTCGGATATCACACTTCCGACATCTTTGATGGTCTGCCGCCACCGGAAGTGAATATTAAGCCCTGGTTGTTATGCTTTTTGTTCCTCGCCATCGGCCAGTCATTGGGCTATGTGGCTTCACAAGCATCACTTATGGTCATTGTCTACGTTGCAGCCAAGAATATGTTCCGAGATGTGATGGAGAAGGTGGCGTACGCAACATTTCGCTTCTATGATACCACGCCGGTAGGCCGTCTGATGAACCGCATGACTTCTGACATTGGCGTGATTGACGGCGGGATCAGTCAGCAGTTCTCTGCTATTAGCTGGATGATGATCAGCTGGATTTCGGCTGTCGTAGTCATCGCCTCGATTACTCCCTCATTTCTGGTCTTTACTCTCGTCCTGGCGGTACTGTTTGCCCTCATCTTCAGGCACTTCATTGGGACTTCTCAGAATCTGCGTCGCCTCGAAATGGTTTCGTTGACACCGCTTATGTCAAACTTTGGCGAGCTACTCAATGGGTTAACCACGGTGCGCGCCTTTGCGGCTCAATCTCGATTCCAGCATCGTGTGATTCACGTAGTGGACACTTTCCAGAAGATGGACCACTTTTACTGGTCTATACAGGCATGGCTACAATATAGATACGATGCTCTGGCGTCTTTTGCGAACTTTCTGCTGTTGGTGCTCGCCCTCGCAACAGACTTGTCGCCAGGCCTGACAGCTTTTGCACTGCTTTCGGCCAACAAGTTCGTCTACACTACTAATGGTTTATGTCGTCAGTACGGGCAGCTCCAGATGGAGTTTGTGAGCGTCGAGCGAGTAGTCGAACTTCTCCATCTCGAGCAGGAACCCAAAGGATCTGTCAGTCCACCTGCGTGGTGGCCCTCCTACAAAGGTGATGTTGTGTTCAAGGATGTGCTAATCAAGTACGCACCGCATCTGGACCCGGCCTTGGACAGCATATCCTTCACCGTGAAGGGTGGATCGAAGACGGCGATCATCGGCCGTACTGGATCCGGCAAGAGTACACTGGCACTTTCTCTTCTCGCGACGATCATACCGGAAGTTGGAGCAATACACATCGACGAAATCGACCTTGCTCAAGTTGATAAACAACTCCTTCGCACCCGAGTAACGTTCCTCGCCCAGGATCCAGTGCTGTTCCCAGGAACTATGCGCATGAACCTGGACCCGGTCAATGATCATACAGACGAAGAGTGCGAAACTGTACTGAGCCGAGTCTGCGCGCGGCAAGGCTGGCAATTGAACACCAACATTGAAGCTGGTGGCAAGAATCTCAGCCAAGGTCAACGCCAACTCGTCGGTCTTGCGAGAGCTGTTCTGCGAAGAAGCGCCATCATCATTCTCGACGAAGCGACTGCGTCTATTGATCGAGATACGGCAATGCAGATTCAACTTGTCATGCACGAGGAGATGCAAGAATCCACCGTGATCACCATTGCTCACAGGCTGGAAGCTGTTCGGAATGCCGATTACTGCATCGTTCTGGGAAAAGGCAAGATTCTTGAGCAAGGACCAGCAGTAGAAATGTTGAAAGATTATAGAAAAGACATGGTTGACGAAGTAGACGATTTAGATAGACGGCTGAGGAATGTATCATTAAATAGACTGATCCCCTGGTAATAAAAAAGAAAATAGGAGTTTTCACGTGAAGACGGATACACACGGCCACTAGCAAATGTCAATTATTGGTCCAGGTGGGACGAGATCGTCATCATACGTCAAACGCTTGCGCTATCAGAAAGCAGCTTCACATCACAAAGTATATGGATATATGTAAGGTACCTGTATGCACTTGGACAAAGGCTGTATGGAAATCATTAATGCCCACTGTCACGACGAGACATTGCGAGACCAAAATAGCGAACATGGCAACGCAGAAGAACAAGTTTGGACACCTGCCCCTATCGACCTCGGGGCCGCAGGACTGTGCTATCACGGTAAGTCTGCTGCGGTATTGTCTGGGAGCAGAACTGCAGTGAACAGGCAAACAGCTGATATTGGATATGACAGGGTACCGCACTTCTGAACACACCATATCTCAACAAAGGCTCCGCCTTCACAGAAGAAGAACGACAGACGTTCGACCTAAATGGTCTTCTTCCCGCCAAAGTCAACACTCTCGACGAACAGGTCCAGCGAGCGTATGAACAATACAGCACTCACAAGACCGCGATCGGGAAAAACTTGTTTATGACCAGCATGAAGGAGCAGAATGAAGTGCTCTACTATCGACTCATCCAAGATCATCTGAAAGAGATGTTTCCCATCATCTATACACCCACCGAAGGCGACGCGATCGCGGCATACAGCAGACTCTTTCGAAGACCCGAAGGATGTTTCCTGGATATCACGCAGCCGGACAATATCGAAAAGCCTCTCAGCCGATATGGTGGCGCAGAGGACATTGATGTCATTGTGGTGAGCGATGGCGAGCAGATTCTGGGTATTGGCGATCAAGGCGTTGGAGCTATTCTCATCAGCATTGCTAAATTGGTTATATACACGCTCTGTGCAGGTATTCATCCTAATCGCGTGCTTCCCGTCGTTCTCGATGTGGGTACCGACAATGAAAATCTCTCTCAGGATCCGCTCTATCTCGGGCTGCAAAAGCCACGCGTGCGAGGGGAAGAGTACGATGCTTTCGTCGACCGCTTCGTTCAAGCCGCGCGTAATCAGTTCCCCAAGGCATATTTGCACTTTGAAGATTTTGGCTTGGCCAATGCTCGCCGGATCCTTGATAAATACACTCCCCAGATTGCATGCTTCAACGACGACGTACAAGGCACCGGCTGTGTGACACTGGCAGCGATATACGCCGCAGCTCACGTCGCCAAACTGCCCATGGCAGACCTCCGAGTCGTCCTCTTCGGCGCCGGCTCAGCAGGTACAGGAATTGGCGATCAAATCCGCGATGCCATCTCCGTCGAATCCCACGGCAAAAAGTCCAAAGAAGAAGCCGCGAAACAAATCTACTGCGTCGATAAACCCGGTCTCCTTCTCCAATCCTTCAAAGACAATCTCACGCCCGCCCAACATCCCTACGCGAAACCCGACGATGACTGGCAAGACGCCAATCACCGATCTCTCCTCGATGTGATCCGCAAAGTCCACCCTCACGTCCTCATCGGAACCAGCACGCAACCCAAATCCTTCACCCAAGAAATCGTTCAAGAAATGGCCCAACACGTCGAAAGACCCATCATCTTCCCCCTCTCCAACCCCACCAGACTCCACGAAGCCACGCCCCAAGACCTCTCCAACTGGACCAACGACAAAGCCCTGATCGCCACGGGCTCCCCCTTCGACCCCATCTCCCTCAGCAACGGCCAAAAACGCGACATAGCCGAATGTAACAATTCCGTAACATTTCCCGGCATCGGGCTTGGAGCAATTCTGTCTCGAACAAAATTTCTCACAGCAGAAATGCTCGTGGCGGCAGTCAAAGCTCTTGCAGCACAATCTCCTGCTTTGCGAGACTCGAATGCGGGACTTTTGCCTGATGTGGAGAATGTGAGAGAGATTAGTGTGGGAATTGCTAAGGCGGTGATTCGGCAGGCGCAGAAAGAGGGGTTGGCGATGCGAAAGGGGATTCCTGAGGAGGAGGGGGAGTTGGAGGAGTGGATTCGTGAACAGATGTGGGAGGCGGAGTACCGGCCTTTGAGGAAGGTGGATTTGAAGGGTGCTAGTAGGAGTGCCATGGGGGAGGCGGGGAGTAAAGGGGTGGAGGGGATAAAGGTGGATTGAATTGGATTGGAGCAAAGATGGAGGGAAGGGAAGAGAGATGGATAGATGGTGAGATGAGATGAGCCTAGTCAATCAGTCAGTCAGCAGCACTCTACAGCATGCATCTCTGCGCACACCCTCCTACTCGCTCACTGCAGTATCCGGAAACACAATGCCGTAGTGCGCGTGTTTGAATGAAGAAAAGGAAAATGTGCAATGGCATTTGTGGGTTGGGTATCTCTAGTCATCTTCTTCGCTCCCATACTCGTGTTCCTCACTACCACTGTCATTATCATGTGCCCGTACTTCACTCCACGCCTGGCTCTCCTCCATCGGCATGGGGTCCATGGTATTCATGGGCTGTTCGTCGTCGTCGTCGTCCTCCTCCTGCTGGTCTTGTTGCTCCTCATTCTCGAGATCGGCAAACATGACTGATTTCCTCCTGCTGGATGGTCGACTACCTGCGTTTGTGCTGTGTGTGCTGCTTCTTCTCTTGATGCTACTAAGACTACTCTTCTCAACTAGTACGTCTCCGTTCCAAGGTCTACACTCCTTGACTGTCTCTCCACAGCGCAAGCAAATGAATCCTTCGTCTTCTTCGGCTTCGATTCTCTGGGCTAAGCAGACGAAACAGTAGATGCATCCGCAAGGCTCTGTTTGGTATGGGTTGGTGATGTCTGTTGTCGAGGAGCCGATGATACCACTGTTTGCAGCAGCAGTAGATGCAATAATGTCTTGTTCAGATTGTCCGCCAGCGGGGTTCTGATCCTGATAACATATTGCGCAAGTTCGTTCAGGGAGGAATGCGAGTTCGCCAGTCTGTATGTCGTCTTCGTCATGCTCTTCAGAGTACAGAGACTTGGAGCTGAAGATCTTGGTAGTTGTGCTTTTCGTCTTTTTCCATGCTCGAGCTAGCCAGCGTCTCCAGCGAGAGATTCCCACGAGAGGAAGAATAAAGAGGAGGAATTCGGTAAAAGCGTGCCAGACGAGTTGGCGATTTAGGAACTCGAAGGATACTTCGCGATTGGTCTGGTTGGAAGCTGGCACGAGTCGAAGGCGCAACAGGCGGTCGGTGAGGGTTCGATAGCGGCCGTTGTACAGGAATATGAGGAAAGAGCAGAAAGCTGCAATGTTGTGGGAAGTGGTGGCGATGGTGGTCAGGCGAGATAGTCGTCGGATGGTGGGAGAAGGTTCATCGTAGCCATTTTCGAGGGAGCTCAACCGGTCTTCCCAGCGTTCCCAGGCATAGCGGCCTCCCACAGTCAGGAGGCCATAGACGATTCTCTGCCACGTCGTCGCTTCTTTCCGCACGAAATGCGGGTCGGGGTCTCCTCGCGCGTCGATGTATTTCAGGCCTTGCAAGCTGGCTCCGTACGATTGGCCGTGGTCGTAGATGCTCAGCTTCCACATAATGGCTCGCAGGGCGGTTGTGATCTCCGTGTCGTAGTCATCCTTCACGTGTGCGCCAAAGTACTTCAAGCCTTCTCCCGCCTGTTTCTTCAGCAGTCCCAACAATGCTTCGTCGAGGAGTTCGGCGTCAACTTGGCCCACGCGGAAAGCCGGTCGCGTGCCATAGGGAGAGCGGAGGGAGTGCCAGAAGGAGAGGATGTCGAAGGCATAGGTGCGGAGAGTCGGCGGCAGGCTGGTTAATTGTGCTGCTCGGAGCTGGCTCTGGCCTGTTTCTGCCGCTGTCAGCGCTTCTGCTCGGGCGAGGCGGCGTTGCTGTATGCGCTTCTGCGCCGCCGCAAAGTCTGCCATGTCGCCGTCCACTGCATTGGGGAGAGAAGCAGTATGGAGGAGGGCAGTATGAAGCAGCAGCGGGCAGCAGGGTGAAGGGGGAAGGGAAAGAGGATATGAGTGAGTGAGTGAAGTGTGTGAAATGTCCCGAAAAGGTGACGTGGATCGCGAACCGAGGTCGACCGCGCTATGGGTGGCACGTGCACGCTCTAAACTGCTGGGAGGCAAGGGGCTGCAGGTTGAACTTACTCCTGCAACATCACATTGTTAGCATATATACTTGGCTCTCTGTTGATACATTAAACAAGGCATTGTGCAGTGTCCAGGATCCGAAGAGCGCAGTAGAAGAGCCCGTCCAGAAGCCGTATGCTAATCCGTTCGTAGGTCGTTCGGGTCCAGGTCGATGAAAGGGCTACGGAACCTCCCCAAATCAATCGATATAGCATCTGCGGTCGTCATTTGTAGGCTCGATAAGCCTCCTGTATAGACCCACTGGCGTGTTCCTGAAAGCGTAGGCTGACATAGCAGCCATAACCTCTTCTGTCGGTAGCCTTTTGTCTGAGTATCAAGACACTTTCGGAGACACATTTCTCGGCCAAAGCGATCCAGTCGACACTTTCGCAGCATAGCCCTTGATCCCCAGTCCAGAAGAACATCCAGATATCCAGCCTCCAGTAACGAGCAAGACCATTATACACTGGATTATCAAAAAACTCACCTCAAGACTCCTTCGCAACCGAGAATCTCCACAACCAATGCGCCGGAGCGCGCAAGGCTTCTCCCGGGTCGTAAGCCATCACATCCACGCTCAACCTCCTTGTGTCTTCATCGTAGATCAAGCGACTCAGAACTTCAAAGTCGCAGAAGAACACCTGCAAGGTTTCCGCATGTGGGAAACCATAACGCCCGAGGGCGTCGCAGAGTCTTCGTACGCCTCTGAAGCAGTACTTGTCTACGTGCAATATCGTATGCGAAGAGGGAGGGAAGCTGAGGAGGGAGAGGGCGATTGGCTCTCGGAGCCGGTCGAGACGGGCGGCACTGTGAGGATGGGTGTTAGAATGGTATGGCCGGCAATGGATTGCTTGAGCGAGCGAGAGAGGGAGAGAGGTGGGCATGTCTTGCTTACGCTCCGCTGCAGAAGTACTGCCGAAGCAGGGAGAGTACCTCTCCGAAGAGGTGAATACGGCTAAGTATCACTCGTTAGCAGTGGCCCTTCTCGTAGGACTGGCACCAAGCAGTAGGTCTATGAACTCACCACACGAACTCGCGGTCGTCGAGGAAGAGGAAGAGACTAAGAGTAAAAGAAAGTCAGCTACCATTCTCCTTTACTATCCATTCTCTTATTTTCCCCTAGCGCTACCCTGACCACCACAGTCGCAGCTAGAGGAGGAGAGTTGAGGAGGAGGGAGACTCACGACAAAAGCAAGCCCCCAAAGGGGAAAAGCAGAAACGCCGCTGGCCACGGCACCCGCACGCGCAGCGAGCGGCCCTCTCGCGCCGCCGAGACCAAGAACCACACCACGCCCCACGCCATTCTTTTTGCTGTTGTTACTGTTGTTACTGCTGCTGCTGATTCTCTGCTTTGGTCTTGCTGTTGCTGCTGGCTGCTGGTGCGTGGTTTGTGGCGTGGTGTAGTATGGTGGTCGTAAGGAGAGATCAGGGAGGAAGGAGGAAAATGGCGTGATATAGCCCATAACATATGAGCTTTCGCGACGAATGAGATGACGATATACAGCGGGTGAATAATAGTGCCAGTATTACACCATTGATTATCATTGTCTGTATCATTGTGTGAATACATATATCTATGGCGATCTGCCGGCTCTAATTGATACCTTCACAATGGTCTGTTATGTCTATTTGCGCGGCGACTGACTATACCTATGGTTGGCACCGCGAGCTCCGTCTTCGTCTCGCCTTCGCTCGGGTCTCCGATGTAGAGGTTCTCCTCTCTAGTATCGATCATAGCACACACTGCCTCAGCTCCACCGAGTAATCCGACGTCCAACCGAGCGTTCGATCCGAAGACATCAAGGAACGAGTTCGTCAATGGTTCGCGCAAATACGACCGCTCGCTCTGATTCCTCTGCATCAAGGACGGCATCTTGGGTCACAAAGCGGTGAAGGGTACTGAGTGCCTAGGCAATCCCCTACCACTATCAAGAGAGGAGCAAAATGTACCTAAGAACGTAGTGTTCGGTGACAACGCGTAGCAGTCGGGAGGAGTATCAGCAGGATCTCAGGCCTTAGGACCTAACGCTATTACCCTACCAGCGAGACGAGCAACGAGATACATCTCGGAAGACGTAGAATCTGATATCGACAGCATGTACGAATCGTATAAGATATTTACGCCGGATGACACCGAGGACGAGAAACCCAAGCGCAAGGTGGCATTCTCGAACACTAACCGGTTCTTCTTTGTCGACGATGACGGTAACCAAGAGCGAGTGGATTTGCGTGCCAGCCTGGGTGACAAGGTCATGGGCCGCTTTAAAGCCACGGTATACTCAGCAGCAAGACCAGATAGTGGTTGTCGCATTTCTTCTCCCAGCCCGCGCTGGCTAGAGCCACCACCGCCCAGGTGCGACGGTATATGCTCTGTGTATATGTATTCAAGACACACAATGCTTTAGGAATACGATGTCTCTACTCGCTACGAGTCGATTATACTAGCCAGAACAGCCACGACTTCATTCACTATCTACGACTACTGAGAGATCCTGCAACATACACTACAGTTATACCTAGGTAATCGAGTTCTTCGGCTAAAGAAAGCGCACCTAGGCGCGATACAGGATTATATGGAATACCTTCTCGAACAGGATGATCTCGACGAGGAAATATCCACTGCCGAAAACAGTCTCTACAAGACCATAAACTTGAGCGCAGTCAGCCCATATAGCTTCCGATACAAAGGTTTCTACAGACTTCCGCGCCCATTTCAGGTAAGGAGAGGGGAAAAGTCGTTCTCCGTGGCGGTGCAAGCCAGGCAGGACAAGTCCTCTCGCCGGGTATCTATACCTAGGCACATATCGCACGCGGATCAAGGCTTACACTTGGACGTCGAATACATGCTACTGGTCGAAAATCCTGCCGAAAATTTATGGAAATGTAGGCCGCTCCATGGATATACAATCTGCAATTGCAATAGATACTGAGGTGCGCTCTACTAGGCAACTTCTCTACTCCTATACTAGGGGTATACAGTCCTCCAGAATCTCTACAGTTCTAAGTCGAATGGTGCGATATATTGTAGCAGCAGTCTCTCGTTGTATATAAGCTCCGTATAAGCTACAAAGTGTTTGGCACAGTCCTAGCGGCTTAGCTATCCTTCATTAGAGCAGCACGCTGCTACCTATTATCAACTCTACGATGCAGAGGTGGAAGTATGCCTCTTCTCGCAATGCTTGCAAGTTCACCGTGTGTTCTCACAAAGATATCCGCATCTGGAGACATATGACCATCGTACTGACACAGAGTTCAATATGTATTTCCCCCTTCTTCCCTCCATATCAGCTCCTCTTGCGCTTCTACTGTCAGCCGTCCCTGTTCAAAAACCAACCGTCCAGTTTATCCACCAGCATCTACGCCGTAGGGCGAGGAATCTCATGTGTTGTTTCCATCTTGCGCGTAGCTTATCATGATATGACCCTGCTCAGATGCTAGTACCGCTCCAACACTGAAGTCTTTCTGTATGCCGAAAAAGCCAAGTGGGCGTCGTGTCCAGCTCGGCCAAACCTTTACACCTAGCTGTTTCGTGCCAATGATCGACTCGTGCCCGACTTCAATTCGCGCGCTAGCTCTGTCTAGGACTCTCCCGTTGTATCTACTTGTGCGCGTCCAAGATCTCGTGAGTAGTGTCCTCTGATTTTGGAGAGTAGGAGGTAGAGCGATGCTCGAGAGGGTCGGATGAGGCTTCGTTGGTTCATTCGTAGTAGTTTTGACATGATCGTAAAATGTTCCGATCACTATCCAGGATCTGCGTTGGAGGTGTGTGTTCCCCCGACCGGCTGTCATTCGAACGAGTACAGTGCAAAGGCCCCGACAGTGAGAAAGGTCGCGAACCTGCGAGTTCAGTCAATTATTTTCATCAATTAGGGCTCGTGCGTGTGTACGTTCCCTTTTGGCGGCCAGGCGCTTGTTTTGGACGATAATTGAGCAAGATGCAACGAAGATCGCACGCGTTGATCGAGCCTTGGGATGGAGAGTTGGTGTTCGACTGGCGTTTGGAATTTCGTAAAGCCCATCCGGTCGTCCATCAGGTCGGCGAAAAAACCTCATAATCTGCTTACCGTCCAAAATCGATAGACCACGATAATCGCAACTCTGACGCCCTCTCGTATGTGTTCCTGAGTACCTCTTGTCGACAGCCTTGCAGTATGAGAGGACTTCCCAACTTAGGCCTCGCTGCCGCAGCTATGGCTATGACTTGGGACTGCCGCGAATGCGATCACAACGATACTTCTGCGAGCTAGATGTGTAGCTGCGGTATAAATGATTGCGAGGGCTCGCGGTCTAGGCCTTTCCCATGTTGCTCTAGGTCATGATACTCTTGCTTGCACCAACTGGTTGTTCCACGATTACGACAACGCCGCCGGGGCCTCGCCTCAGCCGTCCATAACCTGGCACAGGGGCACCAGTACCACCATCTACCAGCAGACTATCCTACCTCCAGCCGACCTGGACATGTTTGATTCTACATACTTGTTACTCTAGATGCTAGGCAGTAGTAGGGCGGAAAGCGAAAGAGATGGGAGGACGAATAAGGTACTTTCACGGACAGCAAGTTCCCAAACCACAATCAACATCAAGGGACCATCTATATCGCATTCTCGCGTTCTAGCCATTGCAAAAGTCTCAGTAAATACCAGAACATGAATACAGTATTTACAGAGTGATTCCAGTGATTTCCACAGTGTTGTGACGGTGTTGTGACTTTTTGTTTCTTTGCAGACTTGAGAGCCTGCTATCCGTGCCAAGGCTGATTTGCCATAAACACGCACCCACACCTGTTCGAACAGGCAAAAAGAACGACGAAATCACTTACAGAGGGCTCAATGTGACAACCTTATGGTCAGTCGATCGTTATATCCGTGAGATCACCAAGGTATGAAAAATATATCATGAATTGGGGTGTTCGACTCTGTTCCTAACCTCCTAGCATAAATGTACCTGGTAGTGCAAAAAAGGAGGTTCGAGAACATGAAAAAGCAAAAATATATTTTCAATCATATTGTCAACCATGTTGCCAATCATATTGATGTTGTATGGGAAATAGTACCCAATACATAGATTCGAACTATTAGAATGTTAGTTATATGGCCCGCCAAATGGCAGTTTCCCGCTGCGGCAGCAGCAGCAGCGACATAAGCCCAAATTCCCTCCTCTTCCTCAACCTAGACCAAACTCCCTCCTCTTCCTCCCCGATTGACCAAGCCGACGGGATCATTTATATACCTTCATTGCTGCTCGGGCCCTTCCCGCAACTCAGCGATTGGCAGAGGAGCGGGATCCACCCCGCCTGTAGATGCCTCCATGGAGGCTGCAGCACAACCTTCTAGAAAGCGACCGAAGTCTTCTTCCTCAAAACAACCTGCCTCGACAACGCACTCTCTCACCATTACATCGTGCTCAACACCTGTACGAGGCTGAGACAGTCTTTACAACAACGATGGATTACAACCTGCAACTCTATGTCAGCCTGACCGGTCGCGACATGACCGATCACTACGGCAGCCTTGATGTGCTGATCAATGCTGCCGGCAACCTGCAACCCTGGGGGACCCAGATCGGTCGCGACATGACCGATCATTATGGCAGTCTCGATGTCCCGCAGCATTGATGGAGGACAGCATTGATGTCCTCCATCAATGCTGCCGGCATCGCAGAGTGAGTACTAAGGACCGAGCGACCACTGCAGTATTAGGTACTGACCATTTCAGAAGCTCGAACCTCGTGGCGGAGACGTGCGAAATAACGCGTCTACTTGGAGCATCCAGTGTCGACGTCTTGATGAGTTCTATGGATTACAACCTGCAACCATTGGGAAGCCAGACAGTTCGGGACAAGACCGAACACTGTGGCAGCCTCGATGTCCCGCAGCATTGATGTCCTCCATCAATGCTGCCGGCATCGCAGAGTGAGTACCAAGGGCCGAGCGACCAGTGCAGTATTAGGTGCTGACCATTTCAACAGCTCGAACCTCGTGGCGGAGACGTGCGAGACAACGCGTCTATTTGGAGCATCCAGTGTCGACGTTGTACAACCTGCAACTATGGGGGAGCCAGACAGGTCGGGACATGACCGAACACTGTGGCAGCATCGATGTCCTGATCAATGCTGCCGGCATCGCAGAGTGAGCTCCAAGCATCGAGCGATCAGTGTAGCATTAGGTGCTGACCATCTACCCAGTTCAAACTTGAAGGCGGAGACGGACGACCAAGATGCGTCCAAGGGGCGTCCAGGACGACGACGTCGACGTCCTCGTCAATGCTGCAGGCATCATCGAGTGAGATCCCAGTCGCGGTATTTGTAGCATCAGAAGCTGACCAGACATACAGATCATCAAATCTGGACGTTTTTACCCCGACCTCTGACTACCTTCGGCCGTTGCCCTCGCAGAGCGAGGGACCAGCGCCCGCTACGATAGCTACCTGGTTGATTCTGCCAGTAGTCATACCTACGACAGCAACACATCCAGGCAGGGATTCGGAAACAGAATACCACAGAGTGCCGAGGCTGCTTGGACCAGGGAGGAGAGCAATAAGATGACCGAAGACCCGCTGCGACTTCGCAAGCAATGGAGAACAACTCGCATTAAGACAAGAGAAGGATATCCGACGCATCCATCGAGGTGCTTGGACAGCAGCGCAACATGCGGCAGTAGCAAGCATTTGAGCACAAGATCGGTCCTCAGAAGAGCTCAGAAATTCCGGATACCAGACATATATGTCCCCTCACCGGGCTAGACCGAGGTAGCTGACATGTCTGCACTCTTGAATGAGCTCCAACATTTTGCAATAGTCAAGCTGCAAGCGAACCATGAACCAAAGATCATGCTTCAACCTTCCAGACAATTTCAGGCGGACAAATCTGGAATGCCGATCGTACCCTTAGTCGGACTGTAGCTGCTCTCCAGCATACCTTCTACTATTCGTTGGGGGCAGTCTTGTATAACTTGTCCTTCCGAACATCTCGCAGGCTTTCGATGGCAAGCACTCTCGACATTCCTCCAAGTCACTGCTTCGCTCATTTTGCCATTCCTAATCAGGACTCCACGGGGATTGTGCTCTGTGGCTCAGCTGTCGCTGGAGAGTACTTGAGAAGTCAAGGAAGCCGTTTCCACGATCCCGAAGAGGCAACGCCAATTGCAGCGCGGCATGTCGAGATCTGCATCATATTGCAGAAAATAGCCACGATAGGCGTCGCTTGTCCAAGGGGAGCGTGAGGCATGATGTATCGTGAAGCATGATTTTGGCTGCGTTCATATCTTGCTGTTGGTGTGTTGGCAACCACAGTAACGATGGAATGATCGCCCAGCTACCCAGTCGGAGCATTTTTCCAGCGCTCTAGACGTGAACGGCATATCCAACCCGTCTCTCGATCCCACTGCGGTAAAGTCCAGCCGCTGAGAAGGCCCTCCAAGAATCCATGGTGCAGAGGCAGCTGCTCGGCGTGGTCAACTACGCTCCTCATCCCACAGCGCGGCGAAGGTGACCGCTTGAGTCCCAGCTCCCGGAATGCAGCAATAGAGCAAAGTCAAGATCAGGTTGCGTGCCACTTCCATGGCACTGAGAGCAAGATAACACCCCAATTGAGATGTGTCATTGTCATAAAAGAGGGCGTCCGAGCGATCGTGACCAGTGAGTCTCCATGAATACTCCAATCATATGGCCATCACTGGCGTCATCTTCACTGGAGTCAGGTGTTGACGTCCGCCTGATGACGAGTCCTGTTGCCAGGGCTTTCCATTCATGATGGCTGCCAGGTCTGGTGCATTGTTGGGACGAGATGTATGTTCAGAGATCACGTTGGCCTCAGCTGTGGTGGGGCTCAACTGATGGCGTGCTTGTATTCAACGGTGAGGTAGGGAGTTCTATCGGAGACTGCGAGAAGACAGGGTAGGAGTTCGGGGTAACAAGTGCCTGGCACTTGCAAGTGGCGAGGAAAGGAGAGGAAAGGAGAGGAAAGGGGGGGAAGAAGGATGGAGCAGCTTCGGCCAGAAGATGGGGCAGGGAGTACCTTAGTGGAGGCTACGGAGTCGGAGTGCGAGATAAGATAGATGTAGTCAGAACTAGAGTGAGGTATCGCTCTTGGCTGCCGTAGAATGCCGCCGCCTCCGAAGAATGAAAAAGACAGCACGTCAGCTGACCCGTCAAAGAAATCCGGGCTCGGCGACGGTTTTGATGGGCGATTTGATGGACAGACGTCAAATGCGGGGCGGGCAGAGCTCCCCGTCCTTATCAATCGGCCAATTGAGTTCTAGAGAGAGCCGAAGGTAAGCGATCACATTCCTGGTTCACTTTGCATCCTCATCCCTTTGCAGCGTCTTCTGGTCGTCACTACCGCCGTACCAACCATCAACTAACACGATAGGCAGCATTGGTCAAGTGAGGTGTATATCAGTAAGTTCCCGTTTGAGAATGAGATCAAGTATCACGCTTTCTTTGTCTTTCATCCTGCTTTCTTTGGTGTCTGTCTATGCTGGCAAGACACGAACCAGCACCACAACTTCAATACCATCTTGCAGAGCAGCGTAGGGACAGCATCATCCTCCAATGGCTTCGACCATGAAGACCTCACGAGCACTGGCGGCAACAGGTAAAGTGATTCCGCGAACGAGACCGATGACGGTGGTCTCCCGCAAGACGACGACCACGCACATCCGAGCAGCACACTCTCAGACTACAGGTACTCGCCGACAACTGCATTCGACTTCCCATGAAAACAGCCATATGACCCTTCCCATCGACACCAGCCTATCACAACAATCCCCAGCGCTGACGACTCCATCGTCCCCAATATCCACGCCAGCAGACGCACCGCTCTCATGCCTGGCCCTCTCGGAAGTCCTCCGATCCTACCTCATCACCACCATGTCCTCCTCTCCCGCCCTCCTCTCCGCGTCCACCACCCTCCTACGCAAGATGCTCGAGTCGCCTAATCCGCTCTTCAATCTTGAGAAGAACCCTCTGATGCGTCTGATTCTCTGGGAGACTTTCTACAAACAATTCTGCGCCGGAGAGAACAAAGACCAAATTTCAAAGAGATGTGCGGAGTTACGTGCTCAAGGCTACTCCGGTGTGATCCTTGAAAGCGCACGCGAAGTGCTCACGTGTGAAAGTGAGCAACATGATGAGGCAGCAGACGTGGAGTTCTGGACCAAAGGGATGCTGGAGACCATCGACATGGCCGCGCCAGGAGACTTCCTGGGACTGAAATGGAGTGGATTGGGAAGTGCGGCAACGAAGCGCATGGCCAAGGAACAAGATCCTTCAACTGAGATGAAAGCGGCTATGCACACTGTCAGTCGCGCTGCTGCTGCGAAAAACATCGGCCTTCTTCCCTCTGCTGAAGAGACGTGGAATCTGCAAGGTTTCCACAACTGGAGCATGATGATGCAAAGAGAATACAACACGGAAGGCAAAGCCGTGGTCTATACCACCTACCAAATGTACCTCAAGCAAATGCCTGGCATCTTGGGCAAACATCTCGAAATCGCAAAAGCAGAAGGCTTCACACTAGGAGCCAAACTCGTCAGGGGCGCCTATCTTGCCTCGGAACCTCGACATCTCATCCGCGATACCATTGAGCATACTCACCACGCCTACGACTCTGCCACAGCAGCCCTCATCAGCCGCTCTTACGACTCCTTCCTCCGTCCCGCCACCCCAGGCCAAGTCCACTTTCCACAGAACATCAATGTGCTTGTCGCATCCCACAATGCTGCCACAGTCTCGAAAGCCCGCTCTCTGCGCCAACAACAACTCCTCCACGGCGAAGCACTGACTCCATTGGTCTATGCGCAACTGCAAGGCATGGCCGACGAAGTTTCTTGTCAACTTCTTCGAGATGCGGAGATTGGAGAGGGAGTCAAGGAGAAGGTATTCAAATTGACAGTGTGGGGAAGTATGTTTGAAGCGCTCAACTACTTGTTGCGAAGGGCTGCAGAGAACAAAGATGCCGCGAGTCGCACCGGGGACACGAGAATGGCTATGCAGGCTGAATTGGGGAGAAGGATGAGGGAAACGATCTTTGGCGGTGGTGGTGGTGCATCTGCATGATCTGCATCCACAGGCGGAGCGAATGGGAAGAATATACTGTTTTGAATGATCTTTTCTGATGCGAAGGGATTCTACGACAACGACGACGACGACGATGACGAGGGATGAAGATATGAGTGAGATGTGGGCTTGTAAGGAGCCCGAAGCTACTGACTGCGGGACCCAAGGAGAATTGCATGCATGGCCTGTTGTTCTATTACCTAGGTTTGCTGCTGTGGCGATTGATGGAGTATGGGCTCGGGCCTCTTCGATTAGCGCGGAGTTGTGAGATTGGTACAGAGAGCAATTCTCGAAGCTACATGTATGTGATCTATCTACATTTTGGGATATGAGGTATGAGGTATGCATGTCATTTTGTATCTGAATGCTCCAATACTCTTCCTCTTTTTTCCCCTCTTACTCCTCCTTGAAATCAGAAACATTCAGCCTAGTTTAGTAGGAAGATAAGGTACCTAGGTAGATGTAGTGTTGAGTCCCCAAGGTGCCTTACCTTACCTTACCTTACCTAGGTATGTATAGGTCGCTGGCTAATGAACGAAACGCCGTAGTCGGTCTCTACTACCGCAATTCTAACCTCTACTCTACCCTGATATATCTATCCATCTGTTTATATCTACCAGACTTACCTCCTAGGAGGTAGTAATTGACTAGCTCCTAGTTTCGGTCGGTAGAAGGTTACGGAACGTAGGAGGTAGGATAGGTAAGTCTTAGGTCTAGTTTTAAGTTTTTCTTTTTGCTATTTTAAGTCTAGTTCGACTCTAGGGAGAGTATAGGGTTCTTCTTGTACTCTGTTGGGAGGTAGTATATTGCGAAAAAGGGAAGAAGAATTAATGGGAGGGGAGGGGAGGTATTGTATATGTAGGTAGGTATAGGTATAGATATAGATATAGAATAAACTATTCAGTCCTTTTCTTTTATTTGCAAAGTCCCAAGTTTTTATTGTTATTGAAATGAGCTCCTCTTCTATTTACACAGTAGTCGGGTAGGTACTCAGTAGCATTGATTGATTGAACTAGAACTAGCTGAGTTATGTTGAGTTGAATTGAGTCGAGGAGGATCATATTGGGTTTTTCTAGTATACCTAAGTAAGGTAAGTATAGTATGTCCACCTAGGAAGAACTGAAAAAAAAAGACTAGAATTGATTCAGTGCTTTCTTTTGTCTTGCTGCTTACTATCGTTGTCAAAGGAGTAGCGGTCTCGATGGATGGGACTGAGCAAAGGGTCGTCCTGTGTAATGTTTACGACTTTTGGTAGTCAGGATACGACTTTGTGGATGAATGTGTGAATTGCTGGCGGGTATGAAGAAGGACTTATTAGGTATTAGGAAACAAGAGCGTAAATGGACGTATATGAAACAGATGTGTACAATCAGTCATCACTGTTCTGTGGCAGTGATTTATCGCCAAAGATGAGAGTCTAGGCGAATTTCCCAGCACGTCAGATTTATGGGAACAGCACAGGAGGGAAGGAGGCTACACACTGATATCGCATAAGGATACTGTATTTGGAGAAGCCACTGAAGATGCCCGATGCATTCCATATTGTCTTTTGTAACTTGCCTCCCAAAAGCCCCTCTTCATTATGGCGAGAGCGAATGTCCTCCGTCTTACCACAATCGCCTTGATCGGCTCCCTTGATCACGTTGGCCTTGAAGACCAGCCTGTTGATCGGATTTGTGACTAGGTGGAAGGGAATGTGGACAGCCTCGAGTCGCCGCCTTTAGTTGAAGCTGTAGGTTGTAACAAGGCTTCCACTAGAGCTCTCTCCTGTTTCGTGCAGCGTGGTGACTGTAGTAGTGGCGATGCTCTGGGAGTTCACTCTGTAGCGGCCGCAATCTCATGGTTTGAGACGCACTAGTCCTGCGGAGTCGTTGGAGGAAGGGATATCGTGGGGCATCTTGAGGAGAGCTCTATGTTGAGTAATACTAGTCCATTGGTCTGATCAAGATGGAGGAGCACGGCTTGTCAGATATGCTGGCGTAGTGGCATTTTGATTGCGTTCCTAGTGCGGGATGTTGTAGGGGAGGTTTGTCTAAGCCGAAGTAGGTCTGCATCCTGTCGAATCGAGGTGGGATGAGTGACTGAGCTCACGAGAGGGTGCGTCTTCAAAGCTCATACCCTTCACATTACGGCGCTACTGCTTTGGGGGCAGAGCGTGTTTGAAGTGGTGAAGTGGTGAGATGGACTGGTATAGGGGCGTGTAGGTGTTCGTGCTGCTGCAGCATGCCTCTCTCAAGATCCCGTGTGCCGCTCACCCTTCTCATAGCGGACTGCTAGGTTGGAGAACGCCGTGTAGGTAGCCTAAGGCACTGTTGATGCAGTGGCAGCGTCGGAGGAGTGACATATGGGCCGCTGTCTTGGCAGTGTTTTGATCTCTGTGCTTGCTCCGCCGACTTCGAAGCCCTCTTCCACCACGACCACGCTCATCAACATCGTCCTCCTCACCACCCACAACACCCGCCAACTACCAGACTTGTTCTGAGCTGCATCCACGGCCCTTTCTAGTGCTTGTGGTGTGCCTTTCATGTCTCTGCACCGCCAGGCGGTCGCACACTGAGGCATTGGACGACTTTTTCCTCGATTTGCGGACTTTCACCTCGCCAACACCTTGCTCTCCTCAGCCAAACAGCCTCGCGCCATCACACATGGCGTCCGCCAGCGAGCAGACTCACGTCGAGCCTCATCGGTAAGTTCATGCGATCCACCGCGTCTCGTTCACCAGTGATGGCGGCATCGCGTCGTCGAGACAAAGTCTACTCCCACTGCAAATTCCACCACCGCTTCCAGTCGCTTCGAAACCACCCCAACACCTCACAACACCTCATATAGCACCTCCTGACGGTGCGAATGTCGTTGTGCTTCATCTCCGAGCCCAGCTGATGCTCATTGAGCGATTTGCACGACTTTGCGACCGCAGGTGGCGCAAATATGGCCGCTTGAAGCAACCACCTCCGGCGCTGTCGCACTTTCTCTCCTCCCCTCCCCTCTTCATCTGCGATCATGTCCGCACTCGAAGATAACGACCATCCTCGGCGCGTACTCAGTGGCTTCATGAGCTATAGCGCTGTGCGTTCCACGCACGGTTGGCTCTGGTATATACTGACGGGACAGGACAGGACACAGGCCATCCGCCAACCACCTCGAGCGGCGGCGAGTCACGACAGCAACATATGATGCCCCGACGTGCACCAATGGCAGCAGCATCAAAGCTCATCATTGATTGTACACCATGCAATGCTCATGCTGAACAGCCGCTGGACCTCGCCGTCACCGCCGCGCATACTCGAGCTGACTCGCCAACGTCCACGATCGAAGACAGCAACCTCGACAGGCGTCAGGACAGCCACAGCTTCAAGACAGCGCACCACAATGCCGACATCAAGATCGACCTGTCACGGCCTTTGTGCGATTTTGACCTCATCGCCGCGGTCTGCACGTGTGGACCGGACAAATCAAGAGCTGGACACGGACAAATTCGTTTTGCCGGAAGCTGTTCCCGCGACACGAGCCTCCGTCCATTTCTCCGCCTTGAGCAAGAGCAACGACCTGTTCTTCCGCGCAGTTCACTGTCGCAGGTCTCTCTTTTTGATCCTCACGTGATTAACAGCAGCTCCGCACTCTGCCAAGCCACCATAAAGGAACGGAACCAAAATCACCCAGCCTGAACATCAATTCCATGCTGCACGGCATGGGCATTGCAATCACCACCACTCGCCACCTTCAGGCGGGTGGTGGAGATGGCCATGCATTGTTGCCCTCTTCCCCCTTCACTTCTCTGGCATCCGTGAGCCTTAAGGCCGGTATAAGTCCTGCGCCAATCTTGATTACTCCCTCGGCGGCGCTGGCTGGGGTCGAGTCTCTTTGTTTCTTCATCAACCCTATCGTCTACCATGCCGGCGAGCTGCTCGTTACAGCCCGGTAGCTCACTTCAAGCTTGATACTGGTGGCGCTTGGGTTCAATTGTATTCTGGACCGGCAGCTGTGAGCCTAACTTGGCCAGCGTAAGTCCTTTTCGTCAACGTCTTCCAGCTCCAGGATGTCTACGTCAACACCAAGAGACAACCTTCAAGACCAGCCCTTCCAGAATACATTTTGACAGCTCTACTGGCACTGGCACTGGCACTGGTGAGCCTCATCGCCCAGGTCCTTTATCATTTCCTGGCTTTTACTCGGGCCCATCTTTTCTGGCGCTGGTCTTCACTTCGGCAGTCCTGCTTTCTCGATCCTTTCCTGTATGGTGAGCCTTCGGCCCATGCAACAACACTGTTCCCACTCCCCTATCACACATCCTGCCAACAGGTATGCCATGGTGAGCCTTCGGCCCATGCAGCACCAGTGGTTTCCCACTCCATCTATCACACATCCGCCAACAGTCATGCTATGCATGGTGAGCCTTTGGCCCATGCAATACTAGTGTCTGTTGGCTCCACAGAAGGTTACACGAGGGCTCCAACCACAAGCTGCGTGCTAGCCTGGTGTTGTATCTTGCACTGAACATCTGCTCTACTTCTCGATTTCAGTCTTGAGTAGGGTGTGGCTTCACAGAGATGGGGCATCAGGCAGCACATTGCTTGAAACCACACAAATCCGATCATGGTGCACTTGTTGCCCGAGCCTCCGGCTGGTTAGCTGTCGCGCCACGTCATTGCTCTGGTTTCACTGCATCTCTGTCCGCGTCGCTCTGGGGGTTCTTACTCTGCTTGGGAGTCCGAGATGCACGATCATCTTCTGCTTTGCAGATCAGCCTCGACCTGCCCGGTCTTTGTGAGAAGGTTCGCCATCTTCGGATACTGCGCTTTGACCTCTCCGTCTGGACGTCATGTAAGCCGGAAGTGAGTAATTTGGCTTGAACTTAGGTGTTTTCGCCTGGCCTGGAGAAGCTGTCATGTGGCATGCTCTTCAGTGAGCCGAGGGCATGAGGTCAGTAGCGCCTTCGGGCTCTGAAGGTGTTCTCTTTCGTTTTTCTTTTGCATCTCAGCAGTCCTTGGTCTGGACGCTGTCTTTTCTTTATCTTCACTTCCAGAGACCCTTGGTCCTGGTCCTTCTCTTTCCATTCCGTGCCGACGTTCAACAACATTGGCACTGGTTGTTTCCTATTCCTTTCTTTCGGACCCAGAGACCTTGTGGTACTGGTCTCACGTCTCTGCTTTTCTTTGGAGTCCAGATGAGCGAGCTTCGATAGCCTCTCTGGTGTGTTTCCTCTTTTTCGCTGGTTACTACGAACAAGACTGCCGATTGAAGAACCCGTAAGACGTCTGGCAAGCACAGAAGACATTGGGACGGCACGCCGCTGGCTCGAGGTTGGCGTTGCTTCCGATAAGTCTTGCTTTCACCACTTCAGAGGTACGCCCATTGGCTCGACTCGACTGTTTGAACTTTCACTGACTCCTCGCAGGACCGACAATCACTACATGCCCATGCATATATATGTACTTTCTTCATGGGCAAAACATCGACATCATTGCAGCAGAGACGGTAGCGGCGCTACGAAAGCAAGGACGGACTGCGTCCATGGCAGTCAGAGGCAGTCAGCTACCATTGCGGCTTTTGTAAGCTTTGGTTGGCGCCAGTAGTCTCTGAAAGATTGCACAACGGGCAAGTCTTCTGCTGTGCCATGACTGTATCATGTCAAGGTATTGACACAGAAGAGATGGCCGAAGTAGCCGGCTTTGCTTGCATACTACTTTTGGCAGAGTCTTGCACTATCGTAAGCTAGACAAAAGCTTGAAGAGGATGCATGGAATCGGAAGGCCAACATTGCGGGCTTCGCTTGGAGACTAGACTTTTGCACTGCCGTAACCTGGACCCGAGCTTGAAGAGGACGTGTCGTGGTTGTTTGCGTTGGCCAAAGGGGACAGTCGAAAAGATGTGCGCTCATCATACTTACGTTGCTGTGCTGAGCCCGTGCCAAAAGAGTTGTTGCAGGGTGGCTAGGACTGGTCATAGCCCGGCATCTTGTCCCGGCGAGCTGCGACCGAAGGGTGGACGTGACCCCATTCCATCTTGAGCTGGATTCGAATCACGATGCCGACCTTGGGTTGCCGTGACGGAAGAGGATCTCCTGGAAAATATAGCTGGACGTGAAGTTGGGACAAGTGCGATGTTGACGTGGAGTTGCCGTAGCTATGCTGAGGAGAGTGCGGATAGGAAGACTGCTCGAGGAAAAATGAGTGCAATCCGATATGTCTTGCAACATCAGACCTGGCTTGGACATGGAACTATGGAAATACTGCCTAAGTGAGGGTGGATCTCCTCTTCGCAGCGAAGGTCCTTCCTACTCCTGTCCCTCGCCCTCGGGATGATCTCCCATGAGGACACGATACCGACACGTCTGGTTGAACGTCATGATGTCGATGCTTTGATCATCGTACCTCTTGATGGTGGAGGCAGTGTCACAGTTGCTGATGGAGAAGTTCATCGGGATTTTTGCTGGACCCGATTGCATCGCTCAGAGACTCAGCATCGATTCTGAACGACACTCCGCCCTTGTCTTGCAGATCAAGCCGCTTTACCCTCTCCAGGAACTCCAATGCGAATCTCAGAGCCGAACGTGCTGCTGATGAAGACCAAACGGCATGGTCACTGGCGCTTGAATGAAGCAAGCTCCCTGTCGTCTACCTTCTCTGGTGGCCGCGCAACGTCCGGCCGCCGCTCTCCTTCTTCTCATGCTCAATCCAGCTCCTCTCCATTGTCCCTGCTCTTCTTCTCCCCCGGGTCTCTCCTACTCAAATTCCACGGCCCCGTCGCTCCTCTCCGAAGCCGCTGATACAGCTCATCCCACCACAACCACGAATCACCCTGCCTCTCTAGGTCAGCGGATCCCCCCTGGGCCTCGTTGTACTCCTCGAAAATCTTCCAAGCTCTTCTCCTCATGCCATTGAGCCCCGTCAATCCAAGCATCGTGTTCTCCACGTAGCATTGTCGTGGCTGTTCGGACGGGAATCGAGGAAGTTCGGCCAGCCATGCATGGATTGGGTCGTCTGGCCAGTGGTCGGCAGGGAAGAAGGCGAAGATTTTGTTGGTGGGTGGAGCTGCCATGCTTGCTTGGTCGTTCCGTGTTTCTTGAGAGTGGGGTGAGGATCTCGTGGGAGCGAGGAGAGGGCGAGGATGAGGTGATGGTGGTTGCGACGGCGAGGATGAGAACGGGTTGCGACGGCGAGGATGAGAACGGGTTGCGACGGCGGGGATGGGAGCGAGAGCGAGGATGAGGATGGGAGCGAGGGTTCTGGTAAAGGATGTTGTTCGTGTGTACACTCAAACTTTGCCAGTCGAGAAGGTCGGTCCTGATACCCAGTTGACTGTTCTGCGAGGCGAGGGAAAGACTTTTTCACGGGCAGTAGAAGAGGGTCTGTGGGCAGATGTTGGATGAACGTGTGGTGGTGAAGACAATTCCAATTTGACGTGTGGATGAGTGGGACTATATTTTCGTGCCTACTTCTTCTGGAAGAGGAACTACAGCCCTTGAGCCAGGCGAAACCACATACCCTCCTAGAGCCCGTTCGCCCGTCTGCGACATCAGGATGACAGCCACATGGACCGAAAAATTCTCTACAGACGTTCAGAGGACTCAAGCAGCGGACAGAAGAGCGTGGATCAACACTTGCTGTTTCTTGCTAAGACAAGTGTTCAAGGAGGTTCACACGATGCAGTGACTACGAGAAACAGCTAGTCAGGGGAGTGGGAAGAAGAGTAAGAATAAGCAAGACAGCAGTCGAGTGAGACATGATCAGGTCGATACTCTGTAACTGACTCAATCATTTTGTAACCAGTACGTTGTAGCCGGCAAGACACTGGATCTAGCAGGCAACGCGTTCATTGTTGTGTCTCAATGTCTCAAGGCTTTCAGTAGGTGGTTTTGTTTGGGGACGCTTGGAGTCCAGTGGTTCTATTGTGTTTCTACTTCTTTTCTCTTTTTCTTCTCCCGTTGCATTGTTTTGCTTCGCTTAACCTACATACCTAAGTACATAGTCTTGCTCGATATTATGACATTATTACATCGAATTTTTTGTACATCATCATGGCGCGTCTTACCGCTTAGGTCCTGCCTCTTTCTCTCTCTCCCTCTCTCTCTCTCTCTCTCTCTCTCTCTCTCTCTCTCTCTCTCTCTCTCTCTCTCTCTCTCTCTCTCCTCTCTCTCACTCTCTCTCACTCTCTCTCTCTCTCTTTCTCTGCAGACGGCAAATTCATGCCGATAAACAGATACCCAGTGTATACAACCTCACAGACTCGCAAACCCAGGCCAACCAGAAGAACAAACAGACACTTCCACGAGACCATAACCAATCATCCAACCCCATTCTCAATATCGCAACAGAGCAGTACAGACTTTCTACTTCTACAGTGAGTATCTAAGGTACCTGTTTGCTAATACCTACTTCACGGGCACCTTGGAAGAAACCCTATACATACATTTTCACGGATTAACGAAAAATTGCTGGCGTGTTACTCCTGTCGACTTTCTTCGAGGCTCACGACCTCTTTTTGACAAGTACGAGGAC